GACAGGGGCAGCTGTGTCCCACTGCAGGGGCTGCCCTGGGAGCCCTGGGCCAAGGGAGGGGCTGGCTGCAGGGCAGAAGGGGCACAGGGGACATGGGTGGCAGCTACAGCCCCTGTGGAGGGTGCATGTCCCTGAGGGTGGCCCTGTGCAGCCACGGAGGGCCGCAGTCCTGATCCTGGTCCCCCTGATCCTGGTCCCATGACCCTGATCCTGTTCCTCCCACTGCCCTGCTCCTTCTCCAGACTGCTCCTGCTCCTATTGCTCTGATCCACTTCCTTCCCCCACTGTCCTGCTCCAGCTCCCCCGATCCACTTCCTTCTCCCACTGTCCTGGTCTCCTTGATCCTGATCCCACTGTTTTGATTCTGGTCCCGTCCCCATCACTCTCCTCCTGCTGCCCCCTCTCTGTCCCTTCTCCCCCTGGTGTCCCCCCCGTCCTGCAGCCCAGCACTGCCTGCCCCGGGCGGAGCACTGGTGCAAAGCGGTGTGAGGAAACCTCCGGGCTGTGTTTGCTCCCCAGCTGGAGGCCAAAGGCCGGGGCTGTGTCCGTGGCCCCCGGGGACCCTGCAGGCGGCTTCCTGCGGGGGCGGGGATGGGGGGCCTCCCGTGCCGGCCCCGCTGCTCCCCGGTGGCACAGCAGGGATGCGGGAACCGCTGCCCGTGGAAGCGGGCTGGCCGGGGGAAGCTGAGGCACAGCAGCGCCGGCAGCCCCCGGTGCCTGTCCCGGGGGTCGGGGCACAGCCAGGCAGGGCGGGGGTCACGGCACAGCCGCAGGAAGCCGCTGTCAGGGCGGGAAGAGGAAGAGCGACTTCCCCATCCGAGGGGGCAGGGATGGGCTGGGGCTCGGGCCGGGGGGCTCGGACCCTTCCCCTTCTCCTTCCCCAGCCCCGCGGCCTCAGCGGGCTCCGGGGAGCGGGGACCCCCAGCCCGGGACTCCGGGACACTGTGGCTTCTCTGCCCCGGCACTCTGCTCCCTGCCTGCCACACGAGTGGGGCTCCCATCCTCCCGGAGCCATCCATGGGTGGGCACCAGCTGCCCACGGCCGGATCCCGGTGGGAAAGGCGCTGCCGGCCCCAGGGTGGGCACGTCCCCAGCCCAGCCCCGTGGGGTGCCCCCGCCTCGGCTGGGCAGGGCTTGGCAGCGCCTGGCTCCGGCAGCAGCAGGAAGGGGAGCAGGATGCAGCCCTTAATGGGAATTGCAGAGGGAACCTGAGGAAGGAAAACGCGCGCCGGGATTGGGGATAAACACAGCTGCCGGAGCGGACGCTGGCTCCGGGGCCACGCCAGCCCGGCCTCTGCCCGCCGGGACCAGCAGCGGCCCTGCTCGCTGTGGCAGGATGGGGCTGGGACAAACCGTGACGGCCCTCGGGCTGCCACAGCCCCGGTGTGGCCCCACTGCCTGCCCTGCTGCCCTCTGTCCCATTCCGGGCTGGAGGCACGGCACAGCATGGCACGGCACAGCATGGCACAGGGTGCTGCCACAGCCGGGCTGCCATGGATGCAGCACCCTGGGGACGACGTGGTCCCCATGCACTGGCTGTGGTGGCACACACGTGTCCCTGGGTCATGGCGGGCAGATCCCCATTGGGGGGTCTCTGTCAGGGGGATTTGCCTGCCTGGGAAGCTCATCTGGGCACTGGGTTGGATGGTGAACCAGGGGGATGTGATCCTTGTGCAGCCCCCACCCTCGGGGTGTCAGAGCAGGGGGACCACACTGACCCAGCCCTGGAGCGTCCCCTCCCTGAGCCTGCTCTCTTCCCACAGGCTGCTGAAGGGGACACAGGAGCGCCGGGATGCAGAGCATCAAGTGCGTGGTGGTGGGTGACGGGGCGGTGGGCAAGACCTGCCTGCTCATCTGCTACACCACCAACGCCTTCCCCAAGGAGTACATCCCCACCGTGTTCGACAACTACAGCGCCCAGAACACGGTGGACGGCAGGACTATTAACTTAAACCTGTGGGACACGGCCGGCCAGGAGGAGTACGACCGCCTGCGGACGCTTTCCTACCCCCAGACCAACGTCTTCATCATCTGCTTCTCCATCGCCAGCCCGCCCTCCTACGAGAACGTCAAGCACAAGTGGTACCCCGAGGTGTGCCACCACTGCCCCAGCGTGCCCATCCTCCTCGTGGGCACCAAGAAGGATCTGAGGAACAACCCCGAGACCATGAAGCGGCTCAAGGAGCAGAACCAGGCGCCCATCACCACCCAGCAGGGCATCAGCCTCTCCAAGCAGATCCGCGCCGTCAAGTACCTGGAGTGCTCGGCGCTCAACCAGGAGGGCATCAAGGATGTGTTCACCGAGGCCGTGAGGGCCGTGCTCAACCCCGCCCCGGCCAAGCCCAAGAAGCCCTGTGTGCTCTTGTGACGGGGCTGCCGAGAGACGATCCTGCCCTGCCCCCGTGCCCCCACACACCTCCTGCCCCCCGCCACCCTCCCCGAGCCTCGGTGGGACCCGAAGCCTCCAGCTTTAATAATACAGACCTTGTTTGCACTAACTGGCCGCCCGCCCCGGGGGCACCGGGCTCCCCGCCCCGGCTGCCAGCGGTCGCTTTCGGTGACGCCTCTCCGGTCCTGGCACAGCGCTTCCTGAGAAGGGGATGCCTGGGGTGGGCCAAGGCCACTCCAGCCCCGAGCACCCCGCGGGGACCTGCCACCCTCAGTCCTCCACGGGGATCTGCCACCTCCACTCTGTCCACCAGCTGGGGCACAGGGGGTCCCCAGCCCCTCTGCGCCAGCCCTGGCACTCACCCAGCCCAGAGTGAGATGCTGGCACTGCCCCATCCTGCCCCGGGATCCTCCTGGCAGCACCAGGGGCTCCAGGGGGTGTTTGGGATGAGCCCCACACCAGGCACCTCCAGCCCTGCTGAGAGCAGAGCCAGTGTGGCCAGAGCAGAGAGTTCTTGCCCTGGCTGGTGCTGGAGCTCCACAGGGCAGCAGGACTCACCTGTAACCAGCTGCCCCCAGAGTTGCTTCTCCTTAAATAAAAACCTGCCCAGGCCCCCTGTGTCCTGTGCTCTCCCACACGCACCCACCTTTCCTGGGCATGGGGACACTCCCTGGAGGGACATGGGTGTCACTGGCCCGAGCTGGGCTGGGACTCCTCACCGTGCCAGGGCCAAGCTGAGGGTGCTCGTGGTGCCTGCCAGGGCTCTCTTCTGGGGGAACTGCCAGGGGAACCTTGGGATGTCCCTGCCATGGCCAGTCCTGACCCCACCATCTCTGTGGGCCCAGCTGAGCTCCCACCCAGAGGCTTGGGGACACTGTAAGGGACAGCAATGGGGACAGTGCAGGAGGTGGCCATGGGGCCATTGAACTGTGTGGGAATGGGGACACTGAGGATGGGGACATTGCAGGAATTGGCACACGAGTGGGGTCCCCCCCTGGGCAGCCACCCCAGCCCCAGAGCTGCCTCTGGAATGGCAGTGGAGGGCAGAGCCCTGTGTTCCCATGCCCAGGGGTGTCCTTGGTGTCCTGTGGCTGGCGATGGCAGCAGCGAGGGACCAGTGGCATCCCCAGCCGCTGTCGCCACCCCCTCGCCACCCCCCCGGCACGTGCTGGCGGGCGGCCAGCTCCGGACACGGGCCCCTTGTCCGGCCCCGGGGCTTTCCTGCAGGAAGGGCAGAGACCCGGCGCCCGCCACAAGCCGCCTTTGTTCCCTGCTCCCGTTTGCAGCCAGAGCCGGGGGCACGCGTGGGCAGCGGGCCCGGGGCTCCGGACACGGCCCAGCCCCGGCCCTCCCGTGGCTGCACCTCCTGCAGCCTCCCGGGGCTGCGGCACAGCGTGCGGCGAGGGGACACGGCCAGGGGACACGGCCCCAGCGCCCTGCACAGCCACGGGCTCGTGGGTCCCTGCTGCACCAAACCCTGCTGCCACCGTGGGCATCCAACAGCCCTGTCCTGGTCTGTCCGTGGGAGGATCCCCACGGCCACGTCCTGCTCCCACGGTGGGGATCCCCACAGCCACGTCCTGCTCCCACCGTGGTGGATCCCCACAGCCATGTTCAGGTCCCACAGTGGGGATCCCCACAGCCACGTCCTGTCCCACAGGAGGATCCCCACAGCCATGTCCTGTCCCACAGTGGGGCTGGCGAGGTGCCACCCCGGTGGGGTTCAGTGCAGAAGTGGGTGCTGGGATGAGGAGGGGACCCCGTGAAGCCACGGGCGGGACACAGCCCTGCCCTGGCCCGGCACAGCAGGATGAGCTCATGGCTCTTCCCCTCCCAGCTGCTCCCGGGCGGCTGCAGCGAGGGCAGGGCCCCGCCATGGCCCGGGACAGGGGGGACAAGCCCCCGGCAGCTCCCCTGCCCCTGCCCAGCCCCAGCCCCAGCAGTGGCAGCCCCAGCCCTCCTGGCTCCAGGCTCTGTCCCCGGGGCTGTGCCGGCCCTGGCCCCGCAGCATCCATAAGATCTGCAGGATCCGCAGCCAAGTCAGCGTTCCCAGGAGCTGGGCGGGGAGCGGGGCCGCCAGCTGCGGGGTGGGCTCAGTCCCACGCCTCCAGCCCGGCTCCTGGCCAGCTCCCAGCCTCGCTGAGCCTTCCCGGGCTTCCTCCGGCACCCAGGGGCCACGTCCCACACCACAGCCCCAAGAGCCAGGATCCAGAGCCCACACTCCAGCGATCCACAGCCCAGCAACTGGGATTCACATTCCACACCCCAGGGATCCATACCCCACACCCCAGCACCCAGGGGTCACATTCCACATCCTGCACCCCAGCACCCAGGATTCACTTTCCACATCCTACAGGGATCTGCATCCTGAGCCTCAGCTCCAGGGATCCATACCCCACACCCCAGAACCCAGGGGTCACATCTTGCACCCCAGCTCCAACACCCAGGTTCCACATCCCACACTCCAGCCCCAGTGTTTGGGGTCCATGTCCTGCACCCCACTCCAGCCCCACACCCATGGTGCTGGTCTGGACCTGCTGGCTGTGCCAGGGCCGTGCCAGGGCCATGCCAGGCTGGGCCAGGTGGAAATGCTATGGAGGTTGCTGAGAGCTCACAAAAATACTTAGTGCTTTATTTCCACCTCAAAGCCAAGGCGCTGCGGGGCAGCGCGTCACACACATGCAGGGACACGGATGGAGCCCATGGATGGGGACACTGACGATGGACACGTGCAGCAGGACCTGCTCCAAGCCAGCTCGGCCCCAGCTCTGCCAGGGCCCCACAGCTCCTGCTGGAAGAGGCTCTGCCCAGCCCTGGGATGAGCACTGGGACATCCCAGGGGACTCTCGGTGGTGGCTGTGCTCAGGTGAAGGGCAGGGAGGGACCCTCACTGGCCAAGCATGGGGTGGGACGAGCCCTGGCAAGTGCAGACCTCCCCAAAATCAAGACAGCTCCAGGTGCCCCTTCCAGCAGCATTGCAGGAGGAGCTTGGGGACACTGTCAGCCCCCACCTGCCACCCAGCCACGTCCCCTGTGCCCTGGCAGCCAGAGCTGCACAATGGGGGCACTGCTGAACCCCAGCAGTTCCCAGCTCCAGCCCCACAGCACAGGGGAAGCCATGGGGACACTGGGGCAAAGACCTCCAGAACCAGAACACTCACCCTTCCTCCTCCAACTGGGTTGGAACGGGCACAGCACCCCTGGAACAGCCTGTGCTGCTGGGGGGGCTTCTGGGAAAGGCAGGAGTGAGCCATGGATGCTCCCACCCTGCTCTGCCCTGTGTGCTCCCACCCTGCTCCAGGCAGTCCCTGCACAGCCCAGCACCTTCCCGCTCCCCTCCTGGCACTCAGGCACAGATGGGCCAGGACCCTGCCCCAGTCCAGTGGGAGACCAGTGCCTGAAGCCAGCCCAAAAGGCCACCAACCCTTTTTGAGGACTTGCCCCAAGACCTCCAGCCTGGAGGAGGAACCATGAGAACCCCCAGGCCAAGAAAGGACAGGGCAGGGCTGGACCCCTGTGCCCCGAAACTGGGAGCAGCATCCCGCTCTCCCTGGAGCATTCTCCAAAGCAACAGGCAGCAGGTCCTTGTTCCTCCTCTGTCCTGCCCTCCTGGAGCTGGCAGGGAGCCAGGACAGGGGTCCTGGAGCAGAGCTGCAGGTGCAGTAGGGACAGACACTCGGGGATCTCGGCAGGATCCTCGCAGCAGCTCCACAGCAAACACCCAGCCCCGGCAGGACAGGGAAAAGGAGCCCCCAGCAGCGGGGCTGGCTAGAAGTGCTTGTCCTCCAGCAGCGAGCTCACCACCAGCTCCTTGTTGCCGAAGTCCCAGAAGGCAGTCATGTGGAAGGCCATGTTGGAGAGGACAACCAGGTACTCCAGGAAGGCAAAGACAGTGTACACTGGGGGAGGAAACACAGCAGGTCAGGGGGACCCACAGCTGCATCGGCCCCGGGAGCTGGGGGGGCCTCTGGGCCACCTGTTTGGGACAGCACAGGGGCTGGGGGGCTTGACCCCACCAGGGAAGAAGCGTGGCTGGGCACCTGGAGCTTCCCTGGGCTGGGATTTGGAAGGCAAGGCATCACATTAGGAGGATGTCAGACAACAGAAAGAATTCTTGGACATCAGAAGGAATTTCTTCATAGAAGGAGTGGTCAGGCCTCGGCAGGGGCTGCCCAGGGAGCTTTGCAGTGCCCATCCCTGCAGGTGTCCCCTGGGGGTGGCACTGAGTGCTCTGGGCTGGGGACAAGGTGGCCATGGGGCACAGCTGGCACTGCCTGGGCTGGGAGGGGACTCTGGGATTGCCATGTGGGATCTGGAGGATGTCTGCCATGGGCACAGCTGGGACTTGCTGATCCCAGGGATCTCTTCCAACCTTAACAATCCTCTGATTCAGTGATTCTGTGACCACCCAGCCCCTTCCCCTCATGCCCCCCAGCAGCCCCCTCACCTCCAGGGCCACAGTACCAGTTGTGGTGGAAGTAAACGCACACGGCGAACGCGAACGTGATGAAGGTGAAGAAGAAGAGCAGCTGCTTCCACTTGTACGACTTGCGCTCCTGGAAGAGGCCAAGGGCTGGGTGATCCCATCCCATCCCATCCCATCCCATCCCATCCCATCCCATCCCATCCCATCCCATCCCATCCCATCCCAGGGAGGCTCTGCCCTGGCCCCACACAGCCCGGGGGTCTCTGCACCCTGGCTCCTTGTGCAGAGCCCCCCAGGCCAGCCCCAGGCGTGGCCAGGGGCACATGGGGCTCACACCTACATGGCGATACAGGGTGTGAGGGAGCCATGGGGGTCCCAGCAAATATGGGAACCCCGGTGCTGGGGTGCTCAGGGGACTCCTTGAGGATGGACCAAGGCTCTACTAGAGGCAGATCCCCTGGCCCAGGTGGCTGCAGGTGGCCCCAGGGCACAGGGAATTCACCGGGTGTTGCACCCCCTCACCCACAACAGCAGCAGGGAGGAGGAAACCACATGAAGGGTGGCAGCCGGGGCGGGTGCTGTGCTGCAGAGCTCACCCAGCACGCCCTGGCACCGGAGGGGCCCCATCCTGCCCCCCAGCACCACCTCTGATGGGGCAGGAACAGAGCATGGGGATGCTGCCAGCAGCCCCACACCCCCAGCTCACCGCTTCTGCCCCCCAGAGCTCAGCTTTGTGACAAGCCAGGCCTGTCCCCTGTGATAGGGTCCCCAGCCCATTGCCCAGCACCCCAAAGCTGGGGGCTGTGGGTGCAGTGACCCCCGGCAGCCACAGCAGGTACTGGCTCCAATTCCCTTCCTCTATTTCTCCCATCACACTGAGGGTCATGGATAAGGATCCTACAGCCTGGGGGGCAGAGGAACCCCAAGGCATGTCTGGAGCCCAGTGAGGGTGCAGAGGAGCCCTGGAGCAGGGGGGCTGCAAGGGGGAACAGCCCCACAGAAGGGGCTGGGGATGCCACAGACAGCCCTGGCTGTTACAGGTGGGAGGGGAATTTCCCCCTCGCCTGACACTTCACGTGAGACAAAGATTCCATTCTGCGGGAGTGCTGATAATAAGGAAAATTTAAATTGCCCCATCACACTTTCCATTACCCCCGGAACGCGTGCCAGGGGCTCGGGCAGGGAGGAAAACCCAGAGGGGAAGGACGGATTCACGGGCACTTCACCACGTGGGGACACGCGGGTGACGCCACCTCCAGCCCACGGGGCCTGGGCTGCTCCTTCCTGCTGGGACTGCCGGTCCCTCCGGCCAGCAGCAGCGGTGTGAGCAGCAGCGGTGGCACCGGCAGCTCAGCGCCCCGAGGCGGGGCGCGGTGCCGAGTTTCACACCGGAAAAGCGGCTCGGAACAGCCGCCGTCACGGCGCTGTCAGCGCGCTCCCACGGCAAACGGCTGCGCCCAGCCCCGCCGCACCCACACAGCCCTGCCGGGCCACCGGGCACCCGCCGGGGCCACCGGCAGCTGCTCCTCCCGGGAGCACCGAGGCAGAGAACAGCTCGGGTCACCCAGCTCCACCGCCCCGCTCCTGCTGCAGGACCCTGAGGTGGCCCTGTGGGAGCCACCCCGGGTCACCACAGTGACCCTGCACCTCGGGGTGCCCTCTGAGCTCCCCCTCTCCCGGTCTGGGCCGAGGATTATCGCACGGATAATTAGGTGTTAATCCCTAATTCCAGGGCAACAGCTGGCTCAGCCCAGTGCCAGGGGATCACAGGGCACGGTACCCAGGGGATGGCACCTGGTGACACGCCACGATGCTGAGCAGAGCTGGTTTGGAAGGTGGCACCTCGGGGAAGGTCCCTGCAGGAGCACGGGCACGGGGGCACAGGCACAGCAAGGGGATTGGGGGGCATGAGGACCCCCATGGGATGTGGGAGCTGGAGTGCCACCCTGCCCTGCTGCAGGAGGAAGGGAAAGGGCCAGCCCACCCTTTAGGCAGCACGGTGGGAGCTCCAGGAGCTGCTGGGTGGAGGAGCTGCCCATCCCCTCACTGCTGTGGGCTGGAGCCACTGCCCTGCTCAGGGCTCAGGCAGTGCCAGGCACTGTCCCTGCTTCCCATGGCCGCAGCTTTGTGGGGATCCCCCACCTGGGGACAACCCCGGGAGCCAGATGGTGGCCAGAGGAGGGAACCAAGATTAGAGGGATGGAGCACCTCTGCCATGAGGAGACTGGGAGGATTGGGATTGCTCAGCTTGGACAGGACCAGGAACCCCCAGGTCAGAGCCCTGGAGAGTAGCTGGCAGCTCCAAGCACTCTGGCAAGAAGCCACCAAACTCTGGCTGCCTGTGAGGAAAAAGGGGGATTAGAAAATCCCAAGGACAGGGTGCTCCAAGCTGAGTTGGTGCCAGACTCCCGTGTCCTGGCTGGGGCTGGCAGGCTGGCACAGCTGGGGCTGCCAACTTCCTCCTGGCAAGACAGACCAGGGCAGCCGCGGCCCCTGCAAGCAGTGTCACACAGCCACCCCAGCCCCCCGTGGCTGCGTGTGTGTCTGGCTCAGAAAAGCACAGGGGAATTATATTTAGTGCCCAGCTGGCGGGCCGGAGCTGAGGCACATTCCCCGGCAGGCGAAGGTGAGTCAGGAGCAGGAGGCTGGACAATTCGGGGAGGAGAGAGAGGCTGCAGCAGCCAGCCCGGGGGCACGCTCTGGGATGCTGCTCCCAGCCCGGGGGCACGCTCTGGAATGCTGCTCCCAGCCCGGGGGCACGCTCTGGGATGCTGCTCCCAGCCCACAGAACGCACTGGGGGTCTCATTCCTCCAGCCTGAAGGAGCCCCAAGCCATGCAAATGCAGCTCTGAGGGCTGAGGCGGCTGCTGTAAGCTACCAGCAAGGAGGCACAGGAGCTTCCTGCTTCTTCCACTGCCTCCAGAGAGGAGGACAGTGCCTAGCCCCCAGTTCCTGATGGGGACAGGGATGACAGTGATCTTAAACAGCAACAGCTGACTCTGCAGGGACCTCCCAGGCACTGGTTCTGCCCAGGGGCCACAGCCACCATCCCTTTCTGAAGGACAAGTGGCACCTGCAGGGCTGTGTGTCACACACCAGTCCCAGCTCCGCTGGAGGTTTCCGGGTCTGTGCAGAGAGCCCGGAGCCAAAGGGCCCCACACGGAGCTCAGCTATTTATAGAGGGCTCGTCTGAGCCACGGCAGCGCTCCCAGGGGCGCTGCGAGGAGCTGGGGTGAAACCACGCGTGGTCACCAAGGTGCTTGTGGTCCCTGCTGCTCACACAGCCCTGCCGGGCAGGGACACAGCTCAGGCACCCTGCTCCAGCCCATGTGCCCTGCGGATGCCAGGGGAGTGGGACATTGTGGGATAGAGCCCAGGGGCCAGTGGCACAGCAGGACCCAGCTCCACTAGACACAGCATAAATGAGAAGTGACCTTAAATCCCACCCAGTGCCACCCTGCCCTGGCAGGGACACCTTCCCCTGTGCCAGGCTGCTCCAGCCCCAGTGTCCAGCCTGGCCTTGGGCACTGCCAGGGATCCAGGGGCAGCCCCAGCTGCTCTGCTCCAGAGCTCCAGCCCTCTGAACATCTCCGTGGCCTGCTCTGATGGGCCTGAGCCAGCCAGCCTGGTGGCCACCACATGCACACACCAGTGTCTGCTGGGGCCACCAGCCCGGAGCTGGGGGGTGAAAGTGTGTTTGCAAACAAGAAGTGAAACTGCTCTGCCCCACTGCCCAGCTCTGCAACTCAGGGCTGGGGGGAAGGAGGGTTTTAAGGGCGAGCAGCCAGCCAGGAACAGCAGAGCTGCCAGCCCAGGTGGGCACTGCCACGCCACGGCCAAATACCAAGCACAGGGTGCAGTGATCAGCCACAGCTGAAAGCTCCCAGGCTCCATTTCCCTTTTCCACAGAATCTTTCTTCTCTGCTTTGCCCCTTCCCCTCCTTTTCTCTCTCCTGCTTTCTCTTTCTCCCCTCCCACAGGGCTTTGTTTTCCTTTCTCTCACCATTTGCCACCTCGAAACTGGAAACCGCCTGTACTTCCCCATTACAAACCAGTTCCCCTGCACCTTCCTGCCCCTGCAGAGCAGCAGTTGCAACAGGAGCCCCGCCGGATGAGAAGCTTTTGCAAGACCAATTCCTGTCCCTCCTACGATGCCAGACCTGGGGAGCTTCATCCCTGCCAGCAGCACTAAAAGCGGTGCCAGTCGTGGGGCGGGGACGCACAGCCCCCTGCTCCCTCCTCCTTCCAGCTCCCCACACGGAGCTTGTCCTGGAGATGGTCCCAGTTTTGGCCCTGGAGAACCTGAACCCTGTGGGGACCCTCTGCTGGGGAGGAGGGAAGGACCGGAGCCATCCCTCGCCGGTCCCCTCCTGCCATCACCAGCTCCAGGGCTGGGGGCAGCAAATGTGAACAAAGGCCCCACAAGGGACCCCAACCGAGCCAGAGTCTGTCCCCAAGGAGCCGTGATGCACACGGAGGCATCAGCTGTGCCCTGGCCTTAAGCAGCCCCACGAGCGTGGCTGGGCAGCTCACGGGTACTGCCCAAGCCCTTGGATGTGGCAAGGCTGTGGCAGTGGCACCGCCCGTGTCCCGCCCTGCCGAGCCAAGCAAGCTGTGGCTGTCACAGGAGCTGTGCCAAGCCTGCCAGGGCCACCAGCCGTGAGCAGAGGGCTTGGAGCCGGAGGAATCCAGGCAGAGAGTGGGACAAGCCCCAGGAGACCCTGCTCGGCCCGGAGGACCCGTGGGAATGACTGGCGGCAGGAGCCCAAGGCGCATCACCGGACACGGGGACGCGGCAGCTGCAGAGTGACCAGAAGTCCCTTAGCCAAAGGTGACGCCTGGTGGTGTGACAAGCACTGTGCCATCTTCACCCCGACACAGCTGGTTTGGGAGCTGTGTCACCGGGCAGCGCCTTCCTCTTCCTCCCTTACCCGTCTCCCCCGTGCCCTGGGCGACAGCTCCATCCTGTGGCAGCGCACGAAGCGGGCGGGGACACCAGAGCTGGCACAGGGACACTGGAGCTGGCATGGGGACACCGCACCCCGGTGGCCTCAGGTCAGGGCTGGCCCTGCAGGGCTCCTGTCTCCTCGGGGGAACCCCCAGTTTTGGGGGGACCACGCACCCCCGAGGGCAGCTCCCCTCCAGCAGCAGGGTGTTCCAGGATGGGAGGAGGAAGTGAGTGGTGGCACTGTGCCAGGTGGTGGCATGCTTAGCCAAGGTGTCACCACGTTCCCTGGCCCACGGATGTGCAAATTCATTCAGTCCATGGGTAGAGTCACAGAAACCAAGGAGGCTGCAAAATCCCTCTGAGACCACTGAGTGCCACTGCACCCCAGCAGTGCCAAGGCCACCATTAACCCATGTCCCTAAGTGTCACATCCACATGGCTGTAAAATCCCTCCAGGGATGTGACTACAGCCCTGGCCTGGGCAGCTGTGTCAGGGCTGGACAGCCCTGTCTAGGAAATGATTTCCCCAATATCCAATGTGAACCTCCCCAGTACAGTTTGAGGATGATTCCTCCTGTCCTGTCCCTGTTCCCTGGGAGCAGAGCCCAACACCCCCGGCTGTCCGCTCCTGGCAGGAGTTGTGCAGAGCCAGAATGTCCTCCCTGAGCCTCCTTTTCTCCAGGCTGAGCTCCTTCAGCCCCCTCCCCAGCTGCATTCCCCTCCCTGGACATGCTCCAGCCCTCCAAAGGCTCTCTTGTCCTGAGGGGCCTAAAGCTGAGCCCAGGATCTGGGATGCCTCAGCCCTGCACATTGCAGGGGAGATGAACCAGCCCCAGTGGGTGATGTGGCAGGGGAGGAGATCCAGAGCCTTAGAGGTCTCACCCAGAAAAAAGACAAGCCAAAACAACATGACAGAAATAAAGGAAGCTGTGGGAAAGCTGCCAGGGAATGACTGCGAGCTCCCGCTATTCCCATATCAGCAGAGAGAACAGATCACTTCCCAGTGAGCGAGGAGAGTCTCAGCATCTCCTCAAGTCTCTTTCCTAAGGAGCCTTACAGCCAAACAGATGCTGGAAGCTTCTTTCCAAGGCCTCTGGAGTCAGGCAGCAGGGACAGGCTTGGTGACTTGGCGGAAGGGGAGGATAAGCAGTGGTGACGGAGCAGGAGCTGCTCCTGGACTGCAGAGCTGAGCCCCCCAGCACTCATCCTGCTGGGACTGCAGAGCTGAGCCCCCCAGCACTCATCCTGCTGGGACTGTGGAGCTGGGCCCCCCAGCACTCATCCTGCTGGGACTGCAGAGCTGAGCCCCCCAGCACTCATCCTGATGGAACTGCAGAGCTCAGCCCCCCAGCACTCATCTGGCTGGGGCTGCAGAGCTCAGCCCCCCAGCACTCATCTGGCTGGGGCTGCGGAGCTGGGCCCCCCAGCACTCATCCTGCTGGGACTGTGGAGCTGGGCCCCCCAGCACTCATCCTGCTGGGACTGCAGAGCTCAGCCCCCCCAGCACTCATCCTGCTGGGACTGCGGAGCTGGGCCCCCCAGCACTCATCCGGCTGGGACTGCAGAGCTCAGCCCCCCCAGCACACATCCTGCTGGGACTGTGGAGCTGGGCCCCCCAGCACTCATCCTGCTGGGACTGCAGAGCTCAGCCCCCCCAGCACTCATCCTGCTGGGACTGTGGAGCTGGGCCCCCCAGCACTCATCCGGCTGGGACTGTGGAGCTGGGCCCCCCAGCACTCATCCGGCTGGGACTGTGGAGCTGGGCCCCCCAGCACTCATCCTGATGGAACACGGGCCCCAGGCACAGCACCCACCCTGCAGCCCTGCTCACAGTCCCTTGGGAGAGGCTTGTCCAGCCCTCACCAGCCTCACAGCGTGGGACACAGGCACACACCTCCCAAGGGCTCTGCTCTGCCAAATGCCACCTTCCTGAGGCAACACAGCCCTGGGACCCCTCCCCATTTAACACTGGGATCACAAGGGCTGGACTGGGATCAGCTGGGGAGAAGCATCCCGAGAGGAAAGGACAGAGAGATCCAGGCAGTTCACATCCACAGGTGAAGGCAAGCATGCTGGAGCCACGTGGGCACAGAAGCAGGTCCCCACAGCCTCAAACATGGATGTCCTTTCCTGCCCGTGGCTGCCAGTGCCCACAGTCCAGGAAAAACCTGATGTCCTGCCCACCTGCCCCACAATCCAGGACAAACCTGATGTCCTGCCCACCTGCCCCACATCCAGGACAAACCTGATGTCCTGCCCGAGGCCCAGGACTCACACCACAAACCAGCACAGCACAGAAGCTGCACCCAGGCAATGGGGCCAGGAGCCCCTGGCTGGATCCTCCACCGGACCTGCTGCCCCCAAAGCCAGCCCCTGCACCCCGACCCTTCCCCAGAAAAGGAGCCAGAGCCAGCCTGCTCACAGTCATTCTGGAGCAAAGGGAGAACTCCTGCTGCCCGCTGCTTCCAGCTCGCAGGACCAGCAATTCCCAGCACAGGGAAGCCAACTTCAGCTTAGAAACAGGCATGGAGAAGGGATGAGCAATCCCAATCCACAGGGATGCTAGGTGGTTTCCAATATGATCTCTCAGTGGAAACTTAATCAGACATTGGGAAGAAATCCTTCCCTGGCAGGGTGGGCAGGCCCTGGCACAGGGTGCCCAGAGCAGCTGGGGCTGCCCCTGGATCCCTGGCAGTGCCCAAGGCCAGGCTGGACACTGGGGCTGGAGCAGCCTGGCACAGGGGAAGGTGTCCCTGCCATGGCAGGGTGGCACTGGGTGGGATTTAAGGTCCCTTCCCACCCAAACCATTCTGTGGTTCTATGATAAAACCAGAAAGTAAGAAATTAAAAGCTTCCTTCGCATTTTGCTTTGGTAAATGGATTTTGGTGAGTTCTTCCGTTTCACCTGCTGCTGTTGGCTCCTCTAGAACCTGCTCAGGGGTATTTCACAAGCAAGGACAGCCAAAGCCATTCAGTGCCACTCCAGAGCCCCTGCCAACTCCCAGCATGGCCCCAGAGCCCCCTCCCAGCTCCCAGCACAGAGAGAAGAAAGGAAAGTGTCTGTACCTCGGGACTTACTGTGTGTTTCTTAGTCATTCTCCAGAGGATGCAGGTGAGCAGCATGTGGCCCAGGGCCGACGTGATGAACACGATGAAGGCATTTTCGTGGATTGCTGGATTGACAAACAACAGGTTTCCTGTTCAATCCAGGCCAGGAGCACGAGGAGAACATGGGGCAAGATTTGGGAGGGCTTTGTGCTCTGCTGGGAGCCCCAGCACCCCAGTGATGCTGGGACTCCAGCGGGGTCTTGGCAGGAGACAGGCACAGCACGGCTCCATAACCTGCTCGTGCTGCCTCAGGGGCCCCTGGAAGGGGATAAAAGTGCCTGGAAGGGGATAGAAGTGCCTGGAAGACTTATCCCGAAGTGCCACGAGGGTGCTTCTGTGCTCTGGGACTATCACTTCACATGGCTGTAAACTCAGGGATCCTTGAGAGCAGATTAGCATCACCACTGTTGTTCTAGGGATGGGGAAACTGAGGCACAGGGACTGGGGGTGCAGAGTAAGCCAGTCCAAAATCCAGAAGAGTCCATCTTCTGGCCCCCTGTATTACCTACCTGCCCATTAGCAGCATCAGCAGCCTCATCTGCTGCACTGAGGTTGCCTTGTGCATACCTGGACTAGCCCAGGTACAGGATCAGGCAGGGAGAGCAGCTGGAGCAAGGCTAAGCCAGAGCTGCTCCCAAGGCCCCAAACCCCACATGACCCCTGCACCTTCAGGTGAGAGATTTTCATAAGTGCTGCTCTGAAAAGGAACTTCCCAGCCCCTTCTCCAGAAGCTGAACCCAGGCTGAATTCCCCACCACTGAACACCAGGAATAACCCTGAATTCCCCACCACTGAACACCAGGAATGACCGTCCCTGTCTGCCCTCTCCATGCAGGGGAAGGGAAGCACGTGAGGAGTGAGGTGCCAGCAGATGGGAGAGGTCAGACCAGGGTGTCCTGCAGGGATGATTAACCTGAGCACGGCAGCTCAGGGCTGAAACTTTCCCCAGAGCCGGGGATTAGTCTGGGGTGAGGATCCCAGGAAGTGGGTCAGCCTCAGCTCCCAGGGCTCTGCAGCAGCCAGGCCAGGCTGGCCCAGCTAGCCAAACCTCAAAGCAGCACCTGGATTTACAAGGGCAGGCCCTGGCCTGGACAAGCTGGAGAAGCCCCTGGGGCAGGTCAGGCTGCAGACCCTGCCATGAGGGGGGCACTGGGACACCTTGCCATGGGGACTGGGAATGCTGGCAGGAGACAAGGAGGGTGAGCTGGGTAGGGACAGGTCCCAGACCAGAGATCTCCATCAGCAGGAGGCTCCTGCTCTGCCATCCCAGTCACTGGGCTCCACCACAGACCATCCTCACCCCAAAAGCTGGGGGAGATCAAAGACTCTGCTCAGAGCACCACAGCGCTGAACCCCAGAACAGTTTGGGTTGGGAAGGACTTTAAAAACATTTTCACCCCAACCCCTGCCATGGCAGGGACATCCTCCACTGTCCCAGGCTGCTCCAAGCCCCAATGTCCAACCTGGTGTTGGACACTACCAGGGATCCAGGGGCCTTCCCCACCCTCCCAGGGAACAATTCCTAATTCCCAGTATCCCATCCAGCCTCAATATCCCATCCTCTGGCAGTGGGAAGCCGTTCCCCTTGTCCTGGCACTCCATTCTTTGTTCAAAGTCCCTCTCCAGCCCACAGCTGGACACAATACCCATCATCACCATCCTGCTGTGCAGGGAAAGCCAACACATGACTGTCCTGCTGATATATCCCAGCACTGCAACAGCACCACCTTGCTGGCTCCTGCATTTCAGCGCTCTTCAGTTAACCCCTGGTGCCCCGTCCAGATCTTAGGATGAAACAGCAGCTGCAGATCAGCACTGGCACTTAATGTTCTTCTGAGATGAGACCACCACGTGGGGGAAGAGAATTTCCCAGCCTGTTGTGGTCAGGTTTTGGACACATGGATTTAACCTGAAAAACTCTGATTCTGTTTCCAGAAACTATTAGAGGGCTGGAGCCCCTCTGCTCGGGAGCCAGGCTGGGAGAACTGGGGTGCTCACCTGGAGAGGAGAAGCTCCAGGGAGAGCTCAGAGCCCCTGGCAGGGCCTGAAGGGGCTCCAGGAGAGCTGCAGAGGGACTGGGGACAAGGGATGGAGGGACAGGACACAGGGAATGGCTGCCAGTGCCAGAGGGCAGGGCTGGATGGGATCTGGGCAATGAGGAATTGTTCCCTGGCAGGGTGGGCAGGGGCTGGGATGGAATTCCCAGAGCAGCTGGGGCTGCCCCTGGATCCCTGGCAGTGCCCAAGGCCAGGCTGGACACTGGGGCTGGAGCAGCCTGGCACAGGGGAAGGTGTCCCTGCCATGGCAGGGCTGGCACTGGGTGGGATTTGAGGTCCCTTCCCAATCTAAACCAGGCATTCTGTGAGTCTATGCAATTTTCCCCAGCAATTCCTGGGAAGGGTATGTGAAGGCAGCTGGAGCAGAGCCAGCTCAGAGCCCAGCTCTGCTGTGGGAGAGGAGAGGAAGCAGGATGGGTTCTGACCCACCTCGCTCACCTGCCCTCAGCCTGGATCAGGCCTCAGCACATGGGTGGAACCAGGTGCCATGGTCTGGTCCAGGCTCCATCCCCAGCCTGAACCCACGGCTTCAACCAAGCATCAGCAACCAAGACCTGTGTGAAGAGCAGGGCTATTTGCATGCTATGCACACTTCATTCCTCTATAACTACTGACTTTAATGGGATCTCTGTGGGCTTTTAACGGTTTTTCCTCTCCCAGCCGCCTCCTTGCAAAGCGGTGGCCCAAGGCAGGGCGCAGCAGGGCAGGGCCCGGGCGGGGCGGTGACACCTACCATAGTTTTCGGTGGAGGACACGTAGGTGAGGATGAGGAGGGCGAAGTTCTCGAGCAGGTTGAGCAGCAGGGTGACGTGGCACAGGCGCAGGTAGCGGGGGTGGGGGCAGTGGCAGCTCTGGTAGTGGTTCCAGTAGGCCACGGCCACGAGGACGCGCGGGGCCGAGTGCAGGCCGATGCACAGGCGCCACACGTAGCGCTGCGGTGTCTCGCCCCCGATGGCCGCGCTGATGGACGGCAGGTAGTTGGGCACCTGCGGGGACACGGGCTCGTGGGGACACGGGCACACGGCACAGCCCCGCAGTCAGCCTCTTGCAGACACTGAAACTGTCCTTTGTTAAATTCTGAATGAGGTTATTGCTAGCCCCAAAGCCAGCGCCCTGGGGCATCCCATGGGGCCATGGATCGCACAGCCCTGCTGGGGCAGTCCTGGGGTGCAGGGGGCCCTGCCCAGGCACCTGCTCAGGTTTCGCACTTGTACACTCCTGATTGTCCATAGAATTCCAGAATGGTTTTGGACACAGCACAGCCCCGCAGTCAGCCTCTTGCAGACACTGAAACTGTCCTTTGTTAAATTCTGAATGAGGTTATTGCTAGCCCCAAAGCCAGCGCCCTGGGGCATCCCATGGGGCCATGGATCGCACAGCCCTGCTGGGGCAGTCCTGGGGTGCAGGGGGCCCTGCCCAGGCACCTGCTCAGGTTTCGCACTTGTACACTCCTGATTGTCCATAGAATTCCAGAATGGTTTTGGTTGGAACGACCTTAAGGCCCAGGAACACCTTCCCCTGTGCCAGGCTGCTCCAGCCCCAGTGTCCAGCCTGGCCTTGGGCACTGCCAGGGATCCAGGGGCAGCCCCAGCTGCTCTGGCAATTCCATCCCAGCCCCTGCCCACCCTGCCAGGGAACAATTCCTCATTGCCCAGATCCCATCCAGCCCTGCCCTCTGGCACTGGGAAGCCATTCCCCCTTTCTTGGCACTCCAGGCCCTGCTCAAGTTCTCCTGCTGGAGTGAGATGACTCCTGCCCTCCATTCCCAGCTGGTGTCCAGCTGCTCATCCAGCAGCCTGAAAGCCCCGAGCCCAATCCCATCCCACACGGAGCTCCAGGCCCTCCCTCCCCACACACCTGTGGCTCCTCTGAACTCCAGCAGACCTGGGGGCATCAGCTTTGGACCAACCCCTCCCCAGAATGATGCATTTCCCTTCAGCTCCCCCACGTTTATTCCTCACTGCAATAACCCCCAGCGTGCCCAGCCCAGACACCAGCCTGACCAGTCTGTGCTGCCTTCAGTCCCAGCACAAAGCCAAACTGCTGCTGCCGGTCCTGAGGCACCACAAGGACAAGGAAACAATGCAGCTTGTTCTGGATTTGGAAACACTTTGGTGGGAAAGCCCAAGAAAGGAGCCCAGAAGGAGACAGAGGAAGAGAGAGGAATCCAGAAAATGGATAGGAGCCCAAGAGGAGAAGAGAGCCCAGAAGGAGGAAGAGGAGGCAGGAGGGGAGACAGAAGACCCAGGAGGAGGGAGAGGAGCCCAGCAGGACACGGGAGCTCTGTCACCCCCCAGGAATAGGGGTTTCTCCCAGGCAGTCTCTCACCCCACAGTGGGTGGCAGTCGTCTCGCGGAAGTTGAAGAGCAGAGACCAGATGACACAGAAGAGGAACCCAAAGAGGGGGCAGAACACAGTGCCCAGGGCCAGCGTGGTGAAACGCAGCCGGAACAGGATCCCGTCCCGATCCAGCGGCAGCGGCACCTGCAACATCCTGGAAACCTGGAAACGAACAAACAAATGTCTGACTGGGCTGCTCCGTCCTGCTCTGGGCAGGGCCACAAGAGGGGATCAGTCACGGGCTGGGCCCCGTGACACTGGGGGCTTATTGAAACGCTGGGGTTCTGGGGTTCTGTCCAGCCCCACACAGCCCTGGGCAGGGACCCCACACGGCTCAGCCCCTCACACCCCCTGGGACCCCACAGACACACAGCTCAGCCCCTCACGCCCCCTGGGACCCCACAGACACACAGCTCAGCCCCTCACGCCCCCTGGGACCCCACAGACACACAGCTCAGCCCCTCACGCCCCCTGGGACCCCACAGACACACAGCTCAGCCCCTCACGCCCCCTGGGACCCCACAGACACACAGCTCAGCCCCTCACGCCCCCTGGGACCCCACAGACACACAGCTCAGCCCCTCACGCCCCCTGGGACCCCACAGACACACAGCTCAGCCCCTCACGCCCCCTGGGACCCCACAGACACACAGCTCAGCCCCTCACGCCCCCTGGGACCCCACAGACACACAGCTCAGCCCCTCACGCCCCCTGGGACCCCACAGACACACAGCTCAGCCCCTCACGCCCCCTGGGACCCCACAGACACACAGCTCAGCCCCTCACGCCCCCTGGGACCCCACAGACACACAGCTCAGCCCCTCACGCCCCCTGGGACCCCACAGACACACAGCTCAGCCCCTCACGCCCCCTGGGACCCCACAGACACACAGCTCAGCCCCTCACGCCCCCTGGGACCCCACAGACACACAGCTCAGCCCCTCACGCCCCCTGGGACCCCACAGACACACAGCTCAGCCCCTCACGCCCCCTGGGACCCCACAGACACACAGCTCAGCCCCTCACGCCCCCTGGGACCCCACAGACACACAGCTCAGCCCCTCACGCCCCCTGGGACCCCACAGACACACAGCTCAGCCCCTCACGCCCCCTGGGACCCCACAGACACACAGCTCAGCCCCTCACGCCCCCTGGGACCCCACAGACACACAGCTCAGCCCCTCACGCCCCCTGGGACCCCACAGACACACAGCTCAGCCCCTCACGCCCCCTGGGACCCCACAGACACACAGCTCAGCCCCTCACGCCCCCTGGGACCCCACAGACACACAGCTCAGCCCCTCACGCCCCCTGGGACCCCACAGACACACAGCTCAGCCCCTCACGCCCCCTGGGACCCCACAGACACACAGCTCAGCCCCTCACACCCTGACTGACCCCACAGACACACAGCTCAGACCCTCACCCTGAGTGACCCCACAGACACACAGCTCAGCCCCTCACACCCCCTGGGACCCCACAGCCACAGGATGGGCATCCAAAGAAAATCCCATTGTGGGGATGGCACCTCGAGACTCACGGACAACAGGGAGCTGGGCAGGGCAGGGCAGGGCCGTCCCTGCAGCCCTCCAGAGGGATCTGGCAGGAAGGGCACGTGAGCCCTGTCCCGTGGCATCCATCCAGACCATTCCCTGTGCTCGGGGCAGCGCTGACACAGCCCGGCCACCGCTGTCAGTCCCGCCGGGAGCTGTGGCTCCTCCAGCACCCCCAGCCCGATTCCCGTAGCCCCGGCTCCCACAGCCCGCCTCTACAGTCCCGCTCCCACAGCCCAGTTCCCCCAGCCCTGGCTCTCCCAGCTGTGCTCCCACAGCCCGTCTCTCACAGCCCGTCTCCCCCAGCCCCAGCTCCCCCAGATCGACTCCCACAGCCCCGGCTCCCCCAGCCCCGGCTCCCTCGGCCGGGATCCCCCAGCCCGTCTCTCACCCCGGCTCCCCCAGCCGGGATCCCCCCAGCCCGTCTCTCACAGCCCTGCTCCCTCAGCCCCGGCTCCCCCGGCCCGGCTCCCTCAGCCCCGGCTGCCCCGGCCCCGGCTCCCCCGGCCCGTGCTCGCCCCGCCGCACCCGGCCCTGCACGGGCAGCACTGCCTGGAGCTGGGCCAGGGCAGGGTAAGGTTGGATATTGTGAAAGGCTCTTCCCCAGAGGCTGCTGGCACTGCCCAGGCTGCCCAGGGAATGGGCACGGCCCCGAGGCTGCCAGAGCTCCAGGAGCCTTTGGCCAGCGCTGCCAGGGATGCCCAGGCTGGGCTTGGGGGTCTGGGCAGGGCAGGGTGGCACTGGGGGTCCCTGGGGGTCCCTCCAGCTCAGGCCCTTCCATGACTCCACAGCCCCGGCTGCCGGGTCAGGGCAGCACAAGCCCCACACAACAACACACCGGGGCTCCTCGGGTCGGGAACGCGGGGACAGGCCCCTCTGGAGCCTGGCAGACCCCAGAACAGGGGTCCCCCAGCCCCAAGGGATCAGGCTGGGCTGGATCCCCCCTCCCAGCGCCCGGCTGCGGGACAAATCCGATTTACGGAGAATCCCTGAGATGTCTGGGCAGTGCCCCAGGGCAGCACGGCCGCCCTGCCAGCACCAAGAGCCCCCAGAGCGGGGACCGAGCCCCAGGGAGGGCACCGACCCCAAGCACCGAGGGGCCGCAGAGCTCAGCCCCACCCGCGCTGCTGGGGAGCGAGGGAATCTTTTGAGGATAAAAGCCGAGAGAAAGGGAAGCTCCAAAGGGCCGGGACTGGCTGTGGAGCGGGGTCCCCCTCCATCCCAAGGGGGGCGGGATGGAGCCCCCCAGACCCTGCTCCTCCCTCGGGGGGCTCGGCCACAGCTCCTCGGGGACCCCACGGCAGGAGCCCCGCAGCCGCTGCCCTCCCTGCCCCCGGGGGTCTCGCCCGAAGAGGGCAAATAAAAGGCAAACATTCCGCATCATGTGTTGAATGGCCCCGACCTGTCCTGCGGGAGAGGGGCTGCACCCCCGAGAGCTGCCCCGGGCACCGCTCACCCCCCCGAGACCCCTCCCCGGGCGCCCCCCGCTCTCCCGAGCTCCCCGCAGGCGCCCCCCGCCCCAGGACCCCCAGGCTCCCGCAGTGAGTGACCCCTCGGGGCACCCCACAGACCCTCCCTGGGACCCCCTCCCCAAAACCCGCGTGTCCCACAGCGCCGGAGCCCCGCTCACCGCTCAGCCCCCCCGCCGCTGCTCCATGGCCCGGCCCGGCAGCCCCACCACGCCTCCTCCGCCTTTTCCGCCTCCTCCTCTTCCTCCCTTTCTCCCACCTCTTCCTCTTCTCCCCCCGCCCCCAAACCCGCTGCGGCCCCTTTAAGAGGCGGGGCCAAGCTCCCGCGCGCCGCGACACAAGATTGGTCCTCGCGGCACGAGCCCCGCCCCTCTCAAACGCCCCGGATGTCAGGGTGGCGCCGCGACACGGGCCGTTCTGGACCCTTCCGCGGCGCCAAGCCCCGCCCTCTCCGCCGCCCGTTCGACCAATGGGCTCTCAGTGCGCGGCGCAGCTTGGCCCAATCAACGTTAAGCTCAGGGCGAGAACGGGGGGGCGCGGCCAATGGGCGGCGGAAGCGCTGTGGGCGGGGCGGGGCCGGGCCGAGGCGGCGCGCGGGGGAGGCCGGGAGTGCGCGCGCGGGCTGTGACGCAGCTGCGGCCCCGTGAGGCGGCGGCACCGCGGGCCCGACCCGGCCCGGCCGCTCCGAGCGGCGCTTCCCGGCACCCACGGTGAGCACCGGGGCCTGCCCTGCCCGCCCCCCGCGGGGCGCACCGCGGCCTGGCCGCTCTGCCCGCCCGGCGTGGCTGTGGCGCCGGCGCCAGGCCTTTTGTGCCGGGAGACCGGGTGCTCCCGGAGTGGGGGGGGCGCGGGGAGGCCCCGGGACGGAGGGAGGGCCGGAGGGAGGCGAGAAGGCCGTGAGCGGGTGGGATCTCCCGGCAGCCGTGCCCCGGCTCTCTTCGGAGTACCTGGCCGCTTTTGGGGATTTTTTTAGGCCTTTTTGGTTGTCCCGGTGCGGGTCCGGTTGGAGAGTCCGGGTGTTTTCCACGGGGGATACGCGGCTCTGGATGCGGGTAACGGCCCGGCGGTCCCCGGGGCCGGGAGTTATTTACTGTCGTGTTAATTAGTCGTAGTTTAAAGTTGGGCTGGTTACGTGTGACTTGAAGTTATGTTGATGACATGGGTTTCTTGGGGGGTTTTAGGGGGGTTTTGTGCTGCTGCTGTTAAACTTCAATTAAAGCCTTTTGGCGCGAGGGGTCCCCCCTCGGCTGGGAGTGCAGCGAGTGGGAGGGGGATGCTGTGTAAAACCCTTGGGTTTTACTAATTCTGGTCCAGCTCTTGGGCTCACAGGATCCCCAAATCCCAGAGGCTGGCACAGCCCTGCCAGCCCAGGCAGTGCCAGCTGTGCCCCATGGCCACCTTGTCCCCAGCCCAGAGCACTCAGTGCCACCCCCAGGGGACACCTGCAGGGATGGGCACTGCAAAGCTCCCTGGGCAGCCCCTGCCAAGGCCTGAGCACCCTTTCCATGGGCAAATTCCTGCTGCTGTCCCAGCTGAGCCTGCCCTGGCCCAGCCTGAGGCCGTTCCCTCTGCTCCTGTCCCTGTTCCCTGGAGCAGAGCCCGACCCCCCCGGCTGTCCCCTCCTGGCAGGGACTTGTGCAGAGCCACAAGGGCCCCTGAGCCTCCTTTGCTCCAGGCTCAGCCCCTTCCCAGCTCCTCAGCAATTCTCCAGCCCCTTCCCAGCTCCGTTCCCTGCCCTGGACACGCTCCAGCCCCTCCAGGTCTCTCCTGCAGTACCAGAACTGGACACAGCCCTCAAGGTTCAGAGGAGGAGGGGTGGGTTTGAAGTAGAACAAAATGCTTGCTGTGGGAGGGGGAGATCTTTCCATAACATGCTTTTTCTTAGAATATGATTTTTTAGTTTTCTTCTTAGGTAGAGTTTGGCGTTTAGTGGTCTCAGGACAATGTGAGAGCAGTGACTTAGAAAAGAGGAACCACAGAAAATGAGTGACTTGTGAATTTGCAGATAAGGCTGAGAGTCACAACATCGGACAGCTGGAAAGTGCAGGTGATTTTTATCTGGCCTGAAGGGAGACTTGCACTGGCACAAGGGGGGGTGGCTGAAAATATTCCATAGGAATGGAGAGGTGTGTTTGGGAGCAGCAGGTCCTGGTGGAGAGGGAGCTGGGGGATCAGCCTGGAGAGAAGGATGTGCAGGGTGGACCTTTCCACTCTCCTAACTCCCTGACAGGAGGCTCAGCTTGGGCAGCAGCAGGAATTTGCCCATGGAAAGGGTGCTCAGGCCTTGGCAGGGGCTGCCCAGGGAGCTTTGCAGTGCCCATCCCTGCAGGTGTCCCCTGGGGGTGGCACTGAGTGCTCTGGGCTGGGGACAAGGTGGCCATGGGGCACAGCTGGCACTGCCTGGGCTGGCAGGGCTGTGCCAGCCCCAGGGATCCCATGGGAGCAGGTGAGGAGGGCTCAGGGTGCCGTGTTATCCTGGCCCAGAGGAGCTCTCCCAGGAGCTCCTCTCAGCTTGGGGAGCTCTGAGAGTTTGTCAGAGCAGCTTTTCCTGGCTTTTTCCAGGACCCTTTCACTGAAATTCCTCTTCCTGTGGCAATTGAAGCCTGTAAGGATTTGCCTGTGGGTGTGTGGAGACCCTTAACACTGCAAAATTGTGGTGTGTGTCTGTTGGAGTAGTTGGAGGTGACAGTAAAATCATCTTTTTAGTTCTCCTGCCAGGGGAGTGTGGGATTGGGCTGGTTGTTCTGGGCTGATTTAGTCTCCAGCTGCTCAGGGATGGGGGGAAGCTGTGGCTCCTCCCAGTCTGCATTTGGCCATTCCCAGAAAGTGCTGTTGGTGTTGGGGAAACACACTTCAGTCTCAAGGATGGGCAGATGGATGTGGAGATTTGCCTGGGGGAGGCTCCCCTCTGTGCTTGCCTCGGGCACAGGGAGAGGGCAGCTTTGGCTTTCACTGGAGTTGTTGGCTTTGGGAATATTCCTGCTGTGGGCCATCCTTGGACTGCTGATGTTCTTGGTTCTGCAGTGCTGTGTGTGGCTGTGCTGCCAGGGAGTACCTGGGAATGTGGGGGAATTCCTGCATTTCCTGCTCAGTGTGGACAGGGGTGGGGTAGTACTAACATTTTTTTTTGTTTTTGTTAATGGTCATTATTTTAGTAATGTGTGTTTTTTGTGGTTAGTATTGTCATTTTCTTCTGGCTAATATGGCTTTCCATGGATCATTACACCCATTATTTTTGGTTAACATGGCATTTTCTGGGGTAATGCTGACTTTTTTTAACTTTGACTTTTTCTTGCTAATACGGCTTTTTTGGGTTAACATGACATTTTGTTTTTCTAGTTCTAGCTTTGTTTTGTTGCTAGTACTGCTCTTTTGGGGATAATATGAACATTATTCGGGGCAGTACTGGCTTTTTTCGTTAATCTGGCACGTTTTTGGCTAATCTGGCACTTTCAGTGGTGAAGCTGCAGGAAAACACCCCACAGTTCCCTGACACTGTGCCCGAGGAGCTGTGGGGATGATTGTGCTGGGTTTGTTGATAAACTCAGAGAGCTGGAGCAGAGTTTGTAGCTGTTTGTGCTGGGGGAGGAGGCTGGGGAGAGGCAGCAGAGAACATGCTGTAAATAAACTGTGGGGGCTGGAGAGGGAATTGGGCCTGGAAAACTGCCCTGGAACAGCAGCTGCTGGGAAGTGCAGAAGTGGGGAGCAGAGGGATGCTGGATTCCTGTAATCCCTGTGCAGTGCATTCCCCTCTGTCGTGCTTGAAGCAGTTGGCAAAGAGGGTGGAACAGGAAAATCATTCCTGGAAACCCCCAGGATTGCTGTGGGATCGCTGCAGCCCAGGACACAGGCTGAGATGGGCAGGAACTCCAGCCATAATTAAGAGTGACACCTTAATTTTAGGGACACTGGTGTTTAGTGACACCTCCTTAGCTTGGTGTCACTGGAATGTTGGTGCCCTTGACCCTCCCGGGGTTGTGGCAGGGTTTGGAATCACACAGTGCCATGGCGTTGGTGCTGAAGGATTCTGGTGGGATTGCTGCCCTCGGCAGTGAGGGAGATGGAAAATGAGTTTGCAGGGTGAGCTTCCAATAAAACTTGAATTCTGCTTTCCAGGTCTAGGAAGAAAACCTGATACATCCTAAAAATGTTTAACAAATCGTTTGGAACTCCGTTTGGAGGCAGCACCGGCTTTGGGACAACTTCAACTTTTGGGCAAAGTAAGTGAAATATCCAAGGTGGTTTTAATGAGGTGTCTGTTCCTGGAGTGCAGCTCAGAGAATCCCGTGGAGATGGTGATCCCTTGTGGGATGGAATTGGGGAGCTGCTGGGTGCTCCAGCTGGCTTGGAAGAGGCTCAGGAGCCTGAGGCTTCACCCCTAACCGAGCTTTCATTGGGCAGACAACCAGGACTGCGTGTCTGGTGTGGAAATTCCTTCTGTGGGCAGAGTGGAAAATGCAGTGCTTAGGGAAGGCTGGGGTGTTCCGGGGGTTTGTTGGGAAGGCGTGGAAGGAAGCAGTGAGTGTTCTGGGGCAGTTTGTGCAGCTGCAGCCCCAGGGGCTCACTGGGCTGTGCTTGCAGATGCTGGCTTTGGTACCACCAGCGGAGGAGCCTTCGGGACCTCGGCCTTCGGCTCCAGCAGCAACACCGGCAGCCTGTTCGGGAGCACGCAGAGCAAGCCAGGTACTGCGGGGCTGAGGGAGGGAGGGCACAAAGGGAGCAGCCCCAGCCGAGGAATCGTCAACAAAAACCCGCCAAAAATAGCCAAAAAGCACCCAACCAAGCGCAGGACAGAGGGAAGCTGCCAAAGCTCCCAGGCAGAGGAGGTTGTGAAGGATTAACAGCCCGTTTCTGTCTGCAGGAGGCTTGTTTGGGTCCACCACCTTCAACCAACCAGCCACCTCCTCCACCAGCACTGGCTTTGGCTTTGGGACATCCACTGGGACATCAAACAGCCTCTTTGGAACCACCAGCACTGGTGGAAGCCTGTTCTCATCCCAGAATAATGCCTTTGCACAGAACAAACCAGCTGGTTTTGGAAGTGAGTGACACTGGCACCCCTCTGCTGTTGGGTGGGAGAGCAGGGGGAGCTGGGTGTACCTGGGGGCTGGGACAGGGGTCAGGGTGGGGCTGGGGGTTTTCTCCTGGAGGATACAGTGACATCCCTGTGCCCACAGCAGCTGGGGGGAGCCCACATGCTCCTGAATCTGTAGCTGTGATTCCAGCCCTACATTTTAAAATAAATTGCCAAAGGTGGTTGGTTGGAATTCTTTATCCTGGATACTTTTTCAATGCTATTTGATTTTAGGTTTTTATCCAGTGGGAGAGCAGTTACAATTGGGTTTGTCTGTGGCAGGAGAAGTCAGGGAATGCTGTTAAAACTGTTCTGTAATTTCTTGAGACAAAAGCAGCTGCTTGCAGCCCCTTTGAATAAAGAAAAGGAGCCTCACTGATTATCTTTATTATAAAGTTACTGTATTATTTTCTTCCTACTTGTTGGGAATGGAAGGAAACTGACTGCTATGGTTTGTCTGCTGTTTCTGGGGTGCTGAGTTAAGGACAATTCTGCAGCAGAGGACTGCATTAGCAGCACCATCAGCTTCCAGCTTTGCTGTCAAATTATTTTTCCTAGCTGTTCTTTTGATTTTCAAACCAGTTTCTAATTTGAATGAAGTATTAGGGTTTAAGTTTTAAATACTTACTTTGGGTTTGTTGTAATACTGATATTATTTTTTTTGTCCTTTATTTAGACTTTGGTACGAGCACCAGCAGTGGAGGGCTCTTTGGGACCACCAACACCACTTCCAACCCCTTTGGGAGCACATCTGGCTCTCTGTTTGGCCCAACCAGCTTTACTGCTGCTCCAACTGGCACAACTATTAAATTTAATGTAAGTTCTGCTCTTCTTAGTCCAGCCCGTTTACTGTGGGAAGTGTTCAGTTTTGCAGTTGTTTGTGTGATGTCTTGGCCACTGAGGTGAAAAAATGAGTTCATGTGGAAGTGTTGTGAACTGATTTGAAAACATCCCTTCTCAACCACTGTAGAATTTCAGGCTTGGTGGGTTTAGAGCTAACTCTGAAGAAGTAAAGGAGCTGCTAAAGCTGAGCCTTCTCAGCAGGTGCTGTGGAATTCAAGGTGATCCATGGCAAATGCTGGCAGCAGTGAGGGTTAGAGACATCTTGGGATGGGGCAGAATCAGCTCAGCTCTCCTGGGCCAGCCTGGCTCTGGGAATGGGACCTGGAAGGAGAGGAGTGGTGTCCTGCCTCCTCTGGACGAGTCCCCTTTAAGACAGGATTCAGTAACTGCTGCGAAGTTTTGTGGCAGTTGGACCTGGAGGGTGGCCCAGCAGAGGCCTTGAGGAGCTGGGCTGCCTGGGGCCTGCTGGAGGAGGGGCTCTGTTCCCCAAAAACTTGTGCGTGCAGATCTCATCCCTCTTCATTTCCGGACTGAGCTGATGTAAGACTGAGGCTTTGGGGGCAGAGCTGTGCTGCTGCCTGGGCCCTTGCAGTGCTGCTGATTTGTACTTCCATAGCACTGTTAAAAAGAGCGGGGATAGTGAAATTCGTGCAGAGCTCCAGGGTTTGTGTCAGAAGCTGAGGTAAGCTGCTTTTAAAGTGAAACCGAAAGTAGAATTGCTGGGAGTTGTTTTGAGAGTTCCTGTGGCTAATTCCACTGTTTATCATCATTAAGCACACCTGGGTGAGGCCTCAGCTGTACAAATAATGATGGAATCATAAAACCATGCAAGCACACAAGGCTTGGGTTGAGAGGGACCTCACCTTGGACTGGCTCCTAGAGCTCCACATCCTCGTGCTGTTGGGTCCCAGGGCTGGAGGCTCTGCAGGTGGGGTCTTGCCCAAGCAGAACAGTCACACAGAGCCTCAGATCTGTGCTAGGTGTAGGATTTCCCAGGATCTGCAGGGAGCTCTGGCTGTGTTCCCCCAAGTCTGTCTGGATTTTAACCTTGTTCTTTCTCCCTTCCTGGCAGCCTCCAACCGGCACCGACACCATGGTGAAATCTGGCGTCAGCACCAACATCAACACCAAGCACCAGTGCATCACTGCCATGAAGGAGTACGAGAGCAAGTCCCTCGAGGTCAGTGCACGGGGACACAGCCTTACCTCGGGCCGTTCTGGGCCACAGTTACTGTCTGTGCTCGTTAATGCAAAAACATTAATGAACCTTCAATGTCGCCATCGCACACGAGAGGTGCTGTCAAGTAAAACAACTAATGCAATGCCACGTTAATTGCAGTTGGGTTTAAGTGCTTAATGCAGGTCTGGAAGAGCTGAAATTTCATCTTGTCAGAAGGACATGAGATCCTGGTGGGAACAGCTCTGCTGAGATAACAGCAGGATCCCAGGCAGAGCTCAGTTGTTTGTTATAAACTAGTGTTCCCAAGGATTTATCCTGGGGCCTTCCCATTTGGGCTGCTTTATTTGACCCTTCAAAACAGAGAGTTTATAAAATATCTGAAAAGGCTCTGGGATGTCAAACTGAAGTAAAAACATGGATCTAAGTTCAGGTCCCATTTTTGGTGTCCTTGTTTTTAAAAATGTGGGTGTTGCAGCTTTTCTTGAGCCTTCACCTTGGTGAAGATGCAGTGCTGTGTGAGTGTGGTAAGGACATTTGCCTGCCCTTGCCCTGGGTAAAAAGAGCTGGATTTTCCTCTAGGAACTCCGTTTGGAAGACTACCAGGCGAATAGGAAAGGGCCCACGAATCCTGTAGGAGCAGGAGCAACTGCTGGCTTGTTTGGCTCTTCCACTGCCACGTCCAGCACGGCCACAGGACTTTTTGGCTCTTCCACTACCAATACAGGCTTCTCCTACGGACAGAATAAAACTGCTTTTGGAACCAGTAAGTACTGCCTGGCCCTGGTGTTCCTGTGAGTGCATGTGCAAATATTCTGTTAAGCCATTTAGAATTCTGAGATGCGAAATGCTGGAAAGCTGTTGTGAGCTCAGAGTTGTGCTGTGGTTGTATTGCCAGCATTGGCTGGTGCAGCTCCTTGCCATAGGAATCTGTTTTCTTACTTTCCCTTGGAAAAGTTCAAACAACATTTGGATTTTTATTAGGATTTGGTGGAAATCAAAAAGTAAATAGATCATAGAATCCCAGAATGGTTTGGGTTAGAGGGAGCCTTGAAGCTCACCCAGACTCATCCTGCCATGGGCAGGGACCTTCCCCTGTGCCAGGCTGCTCCAGCCCCAGTGTCCAGCCTGGCCTTGGGCACTGCCAGGGATCCAGGGGCACCCTGTGCCAGGGCCTGCCCCCCCTCCCAGGGAAGGATTTTTTCCTGGTAATAGATATTTGTGTTTGTGGAATTCGACTGTAAACAGATCCAAATCCTCCAGGCTGTAGGAATGGAAGTGGTTGTTGGGTGAGCAGAGACAGGACCCAGGGAGCGCCTGGGGCTGGGCCAGGCCAGGCCAGGCTGCAGAGCAGGGAAAGGCTCTTCCCCAGAGGCTGCTGGCACTGCCCAGGCTGCCCAGGGAATGGGCACGGCCCCGAGGCTGCCAGAGCTCCAGGAGCCTTTGGCCAGCGCTGCCAGGGATGCCCAGGCTGGGCTTAGGGGGTCTGGGCAGGGCAGGGGTGGCACTGGATCATTCCTCTGGGTCTCTCCAGCTCAGGGTATTCTGTGACCCTTTTTCCTGTGCGCATGCTGGGGTGTGGATCTGCTGGGCTGGTCTCTAACTCCCGTTGGTGTCCCAGGTACGACTGGCTTTGGCACGGGCACCACCGGGGGGCTCTTTGGGCAGCAGTCCCAGACCACGAGTCTGTTCAACAAACCCTTTGGCCAGGCCACCACCACGCAGAACACCGGCTTCTCCTTCGGGGGCACCAGCACCCTGGGCCAGCCCAACACCAACACCATGGTAAGAGGGGCTGCTCCTGCTGGGCACGGGGGCTGCAGCACTGGGGTGTGTCTCAGAGTCCACTGCAGGGGGGTGAAAGCGGGGTGCCGAGCTCTGAAGGCTGCGGTGGAGTGAGGAACCTCCTGGCAGTCAGCTTTGTTCCTGACAGCTGGAGAACAGTCAGCTGTTCACAAATCATGTACCCACTCACCTCCTCAAGCAGCTGCTCTCTTGCAACTCCTGTGCTTCCGATCATTTTCACACAGATAATGTCATTCCATTATCAGCCTTCTATGGCAATTCAAATCCTGGGCTTTCTGGTGACAGATGAGCAACATTTGGGGACTTTTGTGACAGAAAGATTCTACATAGCTGTAACTTGTTGTATAACTTGAGGCTTTGGCTCCAGATATCCTGTGTTCTTTGTGAATTTGTTGTGACTTCTCCCAGAAAACCCTGTGAAATGTTTCTTTTCCATCTCCCTTGCTCAAAGCGATGAGGAAATTGCAATACTTGGAGCATAAATTTTTGTGGTTTTTTTTTTTTTTTAAATTTCCTTTTAGTAACTGATTTTTTGGAGGAGGACTAAAGCTTTTGGAATGCTCTTCACCCCTTCTCTTCCCCCAGCACGCGGGCAAATGCAGCATTGTTACATTGCCTGATTTTGTGTGTTGGATCTGTTACTGTCAGTGCTGGACTTGGAAAAGCCTGGGAGCATTACCTTAACCTGGTTCCTTTTTGTAGGGTCTCTTTGGGGTCACCCAGCCCTCACAGCCTGGAGGCCTTTTTGGGACAGCTGCCAATACAAATGCTGGGACTGGATTTGGAACGGGAACTGGCCTTTTTGGACAAGCCAACACGGGATTTGGTGTTGGTGGTTCGGTATGTCTGTGCCTCCATAATAAAGAGAGAAAACCAAGCAGAGCCCTGTTCTGGGGTGCTGGCTGCACAGAACTTGTGTCAGCTTAGGGATTAGGATGCCTGAGATACAAAAGTCAGGTGGTTTGCTGTAAACTGGAGGATAAACAGGTGTAGCAGAGTCGTTTTTTGAACAAGTGATGTGTGGAGTGATAAAAGCAGCAGGAGATGCTGAGGTTATCAGTGCCTGGGATGCCTCAGCATAGGGTTGGAAGTACAGGTTATAAGTTGTGATGAACCAAAACAACCTTGGTTTTTGATAATCATTTTGGTTCTGGTGGAGCAAAAATCACAGGATCACTGAGATTGGACAAGTCCCTTAAGCCCCTTGAGTCTGACCCTAGGAGCTGCTTTTGGGGGATCTTCCAGCTGGCTTGGGATAACGCCACTCATGGGAGGGTGGGCTTGGGGGGGCTCAGCTGTGCTTGGCTTTAGTTCTGCTTCCCTGCCTGCAGCCAAACACCAGTACAGTTCCTGTGGTGTCAACATCCCAGGTTTCTGAATTCCTGTTTTTTCCCTTTCAGACCCTGTTTGGGAACAAGCCTGCTGGATTTGGAGCCACCACGACCAGCGCTCCTTCGTTCGGTACCACCACGGGCGGGGGCCTCTTCGGTAACAAACCTCCTCTGAGTTCAGGAACCCCTACAAACCCTTCCAGTTTGGGGACAGGGGAAAAAAGTGTGGTTTCAATCATTTAAATCTGTGCTGTGTACCACACACTGTGGAGAGCACATGCTGAGTACTGTAGTGTTGGAATTGTCAGGTGAATGATGACCCTGGCACAGAGGAATGTGCTGGGTTGTGCCTTTGCTCTTGGGGGGGCTCCCTGACTCGGGAGGCAGATAGTCAAGTGCCACTGTTTTGGTGAGTCCTTAAGGGAATTTTCAACCTGGCATGGCCAGGAGAGCCCCTGGGATCCAGGGGAGCATTGGGAAGGGCATTCCCAGCAGGTCAGGGAGGGGATCCTGCCCCTCTGCTCTGCTCCAGGGAGGCTCATGTGGAGTGTCCTGTTCAGTTCTGGGCTCCACAGCTCAAGAAGACCAGGAGCTACTGGAGAGGGTCCAGGGAAGGCCACAGAGATGATTTGGGGTCTGGAGCATCTCTGGTGAGGAGAGGCTGCAGGAGCTGGGTCTGGTCAGTCTGGAGAAGGGAAGGCTGAGAGGGGATCCATCCATCTCATCCCATCCATCCATATACCCCATCCATCCACATCTCTCCAAGGGTGTCAGGATGGTGCCAGACTCTGCTCACTGGTGCCAGTGGCAGGACGAGGAGCAATGGCCAGGAACTGACACACAACAATTCCAGCCCAGCCTGAGGAAGAACTTCCTTCCCTGGAGGGGCAGAGCCCTGGAAGAGCTGCCCAGGCAGGGGCTGGAGTCTCCCTCTCTGGAGACATCCCAAACCCCTGGGCACGTTCCTGTGTCTGGCCAGGAACTGACACACAACAATTCCAGCCCAGCCTGAGGAAGAACTTCCTTCCCTGGAGGGGCAGAGCCCTGGAAGAGCTGCCCAGGCAGGGGCTGGAGTCTCCCTCTCTGGAGACATCCCAAACCCCTGGGCACGTTCCTGTGTCACTGCTGCAGGTGACCCTGCCTGGGCAGGGGGCTGGGCTGGGTGGTCCCAGAGGTCCCTTCCAGCTCCAACCATGCTGTAATTCTGTGGTTGAAAACTCTTGAAATCAAGGATTCAGGGAGCAGAGGAGTTTGTTAGGAGGCTGTGAACACGCTGTGTTGGCACAGCAGCACTGGGAGAATTGGGGTAAAACCAGTGATCCCTGGGCTTGAGCAGGTGTCAGGAGATCCTGCACTGCAGTGAAGGTGAGTTGAGTCAGCTCCAGTTCAGCTGTGGCTGTTGTGGTGTGAAGGACCAAAGTCCTGAGGAGCTGGTGGCGTGTTCCTGGTGGCCTCTGATGTGAGAACTGATGTTGGGTGGGTGTGACCGAGCAGGAGGAATGTGTAGGGATGGCTGAAGGGAGTGGCAGCTTCTTTTATGGGACTCTGAAATCTCTCCTGCCTTTTTAATGCTGGATTTCAGAGCAGCAAAAAACCCTGTGTCTGAGAGTGAGTAGGAGGGGGTTGGACCCTGCCATCCCTGTCCCCTGAAGGCTCTTTTGTGTTGGTTATTTAAAGGCAGTGGAGCTTGCCATGCCTTTAGCTGCTGTGCCAGCCTGCCCATATAGACAAGGAAGAACTCGAGGGAACTAGCTGATCTTTTAGGTCCTTCCCAAATCAAGCTCTTTGTGGTTCTGAGTGCTCTGAACCAGGACAGCACCTTGGCAAGCAGGGCTTGACTGTGGTGAGCAGTCCTGTGTAAGCGTCCCGGGGGTGTGAAAGGTGCTTTTGAGTTCTTGTTCTGCTGCTCAGGATCTCCATGGCCCCACAGTGTGTTGGCAGTGTTTGGTGGAGACCAGCCTTTGCAGTGTGTGGTTTTGGTTTGCCTGTGTAGCAGCTTATAGGAGGAATGGAGCTGGATTCCAAGGGGTTGGTGCACACCTGCAGCTTTTCAGTTTAATCCTGGCTATGTGTACTAACCGAGCATGGGATGGGGTCAGCATCTGCAGTAGAACTGAGCTCATGGTAGATTTGGGGTGGCCTTGTTGCAGCTACAGCTGTGCCCTTGAACTGTGCAGATCTGAGTTCCCACCTGCTCTGTGGTGAGGGTCAGAGAAATGTGTGTGGTATAAACAGGATGAAAGGAGGTTTGCTCCCTCCAGGCAGTCAAAAAATCCAGCACATTTTACTCCATTGCCAGATACAGCAGCATCCTGTCACCTCTGTCTTTCTGGGAAACTCTGAAGTTTGTAACAAACTGAAAAGCTTAAGAAGGCAGACCAACATTTTCCTGTGCTGCTTTAACGCTGTATTTATAACTAAAATGTGTTTATTACCAGTGAAGTCCCTTCTTGCCGATCGCCAGTTTAACCCGCGCTGCTGGAAACAGTGGGAAATTTGACTTGGGCAGGGCTCTTCGACCCTGTGAGGCTTATTTATTTAAATACACAGTTCTAATTTCATCTCTAATGAGCTGCTCATTCTGTTGTTGAAGGTTTTGGTGCCAACACCGCTGGAAATAGCTTGTTTGGAAATAAGCCTGCGACTGGGACTCTGGGCACTGGGCTTGGAACAGGGTTTGGAACAGGTAAGCATTTCCCAGCTCATTTCTGGGCAGCTCCAGCCCTCAGGCTGCAGTGCTGGTCCAGCCTGGGCATTGCCTGTAGCTGAGTTAGGAAAGGCTGCGTGGGCATGTTTCACCTTCAAGCCAGAATGGCTCAGGGCAGCTCCAAGGGAGCTTCTTAGCACAGTGCCAAGTGGCCTGATAGAAACTGGGCATCACTGGTGGGACTGGTGAGGTCCTGTGTGCTCAGAGCCTCTGCTCCTGCAGCCTCCATGGGCATGGAGAGTGTTTCCTGCAGCCCAGTAAGGAATGCTTTGTTGTGCCTGTGAACTTGTCGGAGTCCTGTGGTAGCTGACAGTCACCTCTCCTGTCACAGCTCTGGGGGCAGGACAGACGTCCTTGTTTGGAAACACCCAGCCCAAGCTGGGGGGAACGCTGGGAACGGGCGCGTTCGGAGCGCCAGGATTCAACACATCCACGGCTACCCTGGGCTTCGGGGCCCCTCAGCCTGCTGTAGGTGAGTGTCCATGAGCCTGCTGCTTGCTGCCTTGTGCCCACGTGCCTGAGCACAGGAGCACACCCTCCCAAAGGGTTTGGAACAACAGAACATCTCCTCGGGGCCACTTCTGTTCTCAGTCACAGTGCAGACCCTGTTAATGACCCTTGTTTTGCTGGCTATATGTACATTTTTAAAGGAATTCCAAATTGCTTTACGTGCCCAATAATTGCACTTATTTTAAAGCATTGTCTTGAAGATTAGTAAATTTCCCAAATTGAATTTGGGGCAGCAAGAATAGATGTGCACAATGAAAAGTAAGGGAAGTGCAGCATTGTTTTTTTCAGTACTTCCAGATAGGAAAGGCCTAGAGGGCCTTTTTTAACAGGAATGCTGTGCCTCTGGGACAAAAATAAGACCCAGTTGTCTCCAGCTGACTTCCTGCAGACCCTGACAATAAGACCCTGTTGTTCTAGAGTGATTTTGTTGTTCTTTGGGAATGCCCACATCCCACCCTGGCTTTGTTGGAATTAGAATTAAGCTCCTTTTGGTGGCTTGAATATTTCATGGGGTGAAGTCTTAGAGCATTTTAATAGGAATTAAAATGAAATGCTTTAAGACAGAGAGACAAGATTTAGAATCCATTGTAGAGGGGACTCTAGACCTGTATGGTTGTGGTAGCAGTAATGTCAGAATTCTGCATGAAATGTTTTCCCTGCACACCCTTTCAGAAGCCAGCTGGATTAGTTGAATATTCTGGCAGGCCAGGCTCTTCCCACTGCTCTGTAGCTCTCTGTGCCCTCAGCTTTTCACCCATGAGAACTCAATAAATATGGTTGGACACTCTGATGGAGGAAGGAGATGCTCTGGGAGCTGCTGCCTGCCCTGGTTCTGTTCCCAGAGCTCTAAAACTGAAATGCTGCTCCTTTTGTAGCTCTGACAGACCCCAATGCCTCTGCAGCCCAGCAAGCTGTCCTCCAGCAGCACCTCAACAGCCTGACCTACTCACCCTTTGGGGACTCCCCACTCTTCAGAAACCCCATGTCAGACCCGAAGAAGAAGGAAGAGGTGAGTGCCCACGAGCACTGAACTCGTTCTATGGGTGACAGGTGGGATTACTTGCTCTGTGTGCAGTCCTCACTCCAGTGCACACTGAGCAGCCAAGTAAGTTGCCCTCTGTGCTCTCCCAGTGGTGCAGTGGCTTTTTACCCTCCAGGACACAAAGTGCTTGATTTTATCCCAGGGGAAAGTTCCCATGGCAGGGGGGTTGGAAGTGCATGATCTTTAAGGTACTTTCCATCCCAAACCATTCCATGATTTCCTGCTTTTGCCTGCATCACAACCTTGGCTGTGGAGTTCCTGTGCTCTCTGCTGCTGATTGAGGATAAAGATGGGTCGTTGTTAATGCTTGGAATAATTGTAGTGCTTTGCTTAGGATGTCCCTGAGAGTCTCTGATAAACCTTTCCCTGTTGCTTTGTTCAAAAGATGATAGAACAAACACTTCCCAGGCTTTTGGGTGTTAGGGGAGGTTCTGAGTGTCTGCTGCCCCCGGGCAGGTGCCAGGGGCTGGAGGTGAGTCCTGCCTGGCAGCTGGAGCCCCGGGTGCCTGTGGACCCAGGCTGATGGCTGGGGCTGTGCATGGAGCCCCCCAACCCAGGTGCAATTATTGCTTACCACCCCCTTTGCCTTTCAGGGCCCTGGACTGGAGCACCCTAAATCTCTGTCCCCACGCCTGAGATTTCCAACTGTCCATCTTTCTGTTGCAGAGGCTGAAGCCAACCAACCCAGCAGCCCAGAAGGCCCTGACGACCCCCACCCACTACAAGCTGACCCCCCGCCCCGCCACCAGAGTGCGGCCCAAGGCCCTGCAGTCCGCGGGCTCGGCCAAGTCCCAGCTCTTCGATGGGCTGGATGATGACGAGCCCTCCCTGTCCAATGGAGCCTTCATGCCAAAGTGAGCTTCTCTTTTGTGTCTGAGTGAGACTCTTGTGGCAGCTCCTGTGTATTACCCTGAATCTCATGATTTTGTGCTCTCGTTTGTATTGGAAGAATAACAAGTTGTCTGTAAGGCTTCACTAGAACTGTTTTCTGTAGAAGAGGTGAAAAGGTTCAGATTAGACTCCTAAGGCCAAATAAGCTGTAAAATGAGGTCAGCCCGTGATGGGAGCAATGCTCCTATAAAGTCATTGAGGAATTCTTACAAGGAAAGCTTGCACAGGGTGATACTTACTGCTCCTGAACTGGGAGTGTCACCAGGTTTGCTCATGCTCTTAGTATGGAGGCAGATTTCTGGTGGTTTTTTCTGGTGGTTTTATCCCAGCCCTGGTTCTGTTTCATATCCACAGATGATTCTGTCAGAAATAAACCATGGATCTACCCGAGTGAAGCTCTCGGTTCAGTTTTTAGGTACATCAGTGGCAGTCAAATGGAAAAGAGGTTTTGAAAGGTTTGGAGTTAAGCAGAAACAAAGGGCTAAAAGATTAAGGTGACCCTGCTGTAAAATGAGCCTTCCCCTGTGGGCCAGACCTGTGTTTCTAGAAAAGCTGATTTGGGAAACAGAGAACACTGTTTTGGGAAACAGAGAACAGAGTTTGCTGAACTTGGGCTTTGAGCCTTTCACTGGCTTGTGCTTGTTTCATCTCTATATTAATTAGCCAGAGCCTTGAAAGGAATTCCCCCAAAAATTTTAGGATTTCTTACAGGAGACTTGAGATGTCCTGGGTGTGGGAACAGGTCTTAGAGCTGGTCCCTGGAGCATCTGAATTAAGTATGAAATATACATGTATGTAGTGGATAGATCCAAATTTTCCCTTGCTTGGTGTTTAGGAAGAGCATCAAGAAGCTGGTTCTGAAGAACCTCGGCAGCAGCAACCTGTTCTCTCCTGTGAGCCGAGAGAATGAGGACCTGGCGTCGCCGTCGGAGTACCCGGAGAATGGGGACAGGTGAGTGAGTCACCCTGCAGGGCTTTGTCCTCAGAAATGCAGACTGGTTCTGCCTGTCCCTAAATTAGTGCTGTGCAGCAGCCCCTTCTTCTCAGGGATGTCGCTTCTCTGTTCATTGAAAGCACTTGACCTGCTGGGAGATGCATTTCCTCCTGCACTAACCATGTGTTCTTCCTGTGTGGGCACTGCCAGGTCACCCCACCCAAAATCCTGGTCAGGGAGGAGGGACTTTGTGTTCTGGACGAGTCTCTTCCTTCCCTGTAGCAAGAAACCAGGATATTCCTTGGGGGAAGTGCTAAACCTGACTCTGAGGGGAGAAGAACCTCTGCTGATCAGTCCTCAGTGATGTGGGAATTGCAAGGGAGTGCCACTGGTCCTCACGTCTCATATTTCTATTTTCTGTGTATGTGTTTTGTACAGATTACTTTGAGGAGCCTCTAAGGCTACATCCTCCCCCTGCAAAAGCCATAATTCCAACCTCTTCTAAAAAACCTCTGCCCATATTTTAGTTGAACTCTGGTTTTTGAACCTTGGTTTTCTTTTATTCAGAGGCTGGAAAAAACCTGCCCAGCTCACCATGCTGATTTTATTGAAAGCTACTAAAATAGGAGCTGCTGTGGGAGTGAGGTCACCCTGGCCCTGTGGGCAGAGAGGTGGGGCTGTGGGGTTGCTGTTACACTCCCTTTGGAGGCTTCTCTCCAGCCTGAGCTCCCTGTTCCACTCAGCTCTGCACAGGGCACGTGCCTTAGTCCCCAGCGGGTGGGGACTGTCCCAGTCCCACCACTGTCCTTGCTGTAGTGGGAGCCTCAGTGGCAGAGGTGGTCAGGCAGGAGCAGAGGGAAGGGGAATAATCACTGACGCTGCAGTTGGTGTGGTCCTGTTTGCTCTTTGCCTGGAAAGAGCAGAATTTTAATCATAGAATCACAGAGTCTCCTGAGCGGGGAGGGACCCACAGGGGTCACCCAGTCCAGCTCCTGGCCCTGCACAGGCATGTTGGTGTAAGTCCCTGGGAATGAAATAATTCACATTACCTTCCTCTGCCCAGGTTCTTCCTGTCGGTGCCTCCCGAGGAGAACCACCGGCAGGACGGGGAGCGGGAGGAGGAGGAGGAGGCCCACGAGGTGACCAGGTTCTACACCAACCCTATTGCCAAGCCCATCCCCCAGAGCCTGGAGGGCAGCGGGCACAAGTCCCACTCGAGCGTGGACGACACCATCGTGGCGCTGAACATGCGCGCGGCGCTGCGCAACGGGCTGGAGGGCAGCAGCGAGGACGCCTCCTTCCAGGAGGATTCCCTGCAGGAGGAGTGGGACAAGGAGATCGAGCCTGGGCTCCAGCAGCATCCTGCAGGTGAGGCTGGCAGGGCAGCACTGCATGCAGAGTGTTCTGCTCTTTGACACCCTCAGCTTTTGCTTTTTTCCCCTCCTTCTTCCACCAGAATACAAATGTTGCTTTTCTTACTAGTGCAGAAATTTTATCTGCTGAGTCAATGAGCATTTAAATTTTATGTGTATGTAACTATATGTCAGATTAAGATCTAGTAGCTTTAAAGTAACTAAACCCCAGTTTTATATCACATATGTTGGAGTTTTTTAAACTTGAAAAGGTCAAGGGAAAAGATTTGTTAATCCTCCCAGGTAATACTTATGTGGCATGTAATGAAACTGGCAGGTGAGGTGTTCAGAAGAAATGTCTGTAGACATTTTGGAGATGCAAAATGCTTTTGGGAGATAGGAAGATCATTAGACAAATTAATAGATGAACAGGAATTGGAGCCTGTTAAATGTAGAAGAAGCTGCAGTTTGGTCAGCAGTGCCTGAGGCCCCAGGCTGCTAAAGCTGGGAGAGTGTTTCCTTCAAGTGTTGATACATTTGCAATTTTACTTCTCCCTGCATACCTTCTGCCCTTCCTGTTTGCACACCTGCTGCTCCCTGGCAGGTGCCTGAGCAGAACCTGCCAGAGCACTTGGTTTAAATGTGCTCTGGAGGCTGTGGAATGAAGGTGTTGTGGTGTCCGTTGCCTTTGGGTGCCCTGATTCTCAGTTCCTCTGAGGCTTCCAGCTGTTCAGGCTGGCAAAAGAAATGGGATAACAGTCTGGGAATGTTGATACATTGCTGCCAGCCCTGTTTTCAGGGAATGTTGTGTTGCAGGGATTGTCCTGACACGAGCTGGCTACTACACCATCCCGACCCTGGAGGAGCTGGCCCGGCTGACCAACGACAGGAAAGAATGTATCGTGACAGACTTCACCATCGGCCGCACGGGTGAGAGCCCTGGCCCTCCTGGCCTGCTCCAGGGATCCTAAAGCTGCAGAACCTCAGTTCCAAACCTCAGTCTGACTGTCACCAGTGCCCTTGCTTTGGGAGCAGTTGGCATCAAAGTTGTGTGGGATTTTAGGATAAAATAAATCCCAGTATCACAGACTGATTTGGTTTGGGAAGGGCATTAAAGCTCATCCCATTCCATGGGCAGGGACAACTTCCACCATCCCAGGGTGCTCCAAACCCTATCTTCGATATCAGTGTCAAAGTTGATAAGGCTCCTCCAGAGTTTTCTCAGGGGGAAGGATGTGTCACTTTGCTTGGGAGACAGGACCAGGCTGGGTGGGGACAGGAGGAGCGCAGCAGGAACGTGGGCTCTGTGGCACGTGACTTTTCGCAGTTTTAATTGTGACTTTTCGCAGTTTAATTGACCTTTTCACAATTTAATTGTGACCTTTTGGGTTGTTCTGCAGGTTATGGATCAATTTACTTCGAAGGAGAAGTAAATCTAACAAACTTAAACCTGGATGAGATTGTACATATCCGGAGAAAAGAAGTTATTGTTTACCCTGACGACGAAAAAAAACCTCCCATTGGGGAAGGGTTAAATAGGTAAGTGTTAGATAAGGATGATTTTTGGAACCCTGACAGTCTGCTGTGCTTGCAGGCTGCAACCAAGAGACAAATCCAAACGGTGCATTTGGTTTACAGTGTCAGTGAGTTACTTCCAGGTTTCTGAGCCGCACATTTGATTTAAAAGCTGACACGAGTTTCCCTGGCCGGGGCTGCGCCCTGCTCCCCTGCCCAGGCTCCCAGCCCGTCTCTGAGCTGCTGTCCTTTGGCAGGCGAGCCGAGGTGACCCTGGACGGGGTGTGGCCCACGGACAAGACGTCGCGCTGCCTGATCAAGAGCCCCGAGCGGCTGGCCGAGATGGACTACGAGGGCCGGCTGGAGGCCGTGTCCCGCAAGCAGGGCGCGCGCTTCAAGGAGTACCGCCCCGAGACCGGCTCCTGGGTCTTCAAGGTGAGCCAGCCTGGGCTGCAGGCTGCTCAGCATCCCCAGCTCGAGGCATTTCTGACTTCGGACAGCTGTGTGGCGTCCCTCTGCTCTGCTCTGGTGAGAGCCATCCTCACCAAAGCAGCTCCTCGCTCCTGGCAGTGTTGTTGGTCGGATTGGATGGGGCTTGGATCACTGGACCTACCTGCACTAGTGGAAGTGCATGCTCATGGAATATATATCCCTGCTTATGGAATGAATGAGCTTTAAGGCCCCTCCCAATCCAAACCAGTCTGTGGTTCTGTGGTGAAAACAGGCCTCAGACCTGCCTAGAGCAGGTGGTTTTAGTCTGTAGAGAGGCTGAATTTGTTGCAGGTGGCCTAAGAGTTGTGTGTTAGGGCACCTGTATAGGGCACAGTTACACCTGCCCAGTGTTCAGGCCTTCCAGAAATTTCACTTCCAAGCTGTGACACATTTGTTCTTCTCCTTAACACAGGTAGCACACTTTTCCAAGTATGGCTTGCAAGATTCCGACGAGGATGAGGAAGATCGTCCTTTAAAAGTGGACACCAAGAAGTTAAAGACCACACCTGTGCCACCCCCAGGGCACCTGCCACCCCAGCAGATGGCCCTGAACGGCAAACCAGCGCCCCCGGCTCAGGTAGAAGGAGAGCAGTGACTAAAGGGGGTTGATGACACGGAATTTGGAGAATAGCAGTGCCTGGGAAGGGGGTGGTTGGAGTAACGTGCAATCTGGAGAGTGAAGCCTTACAGAAACTCTTCTGAGCTCTGCCTGAGTGGCTGCGTGTTGTTTTCCTTTGAGACACTTGACATTTCAGACCAAGGACGGGGCGGGGAGGCTTTCAACCCTTGTTTCTTGTTTGAATTCTAGTCTGAGTTTGGCAGATTTGCACCTCTTCTGGAAGAACCCTTGTTTTTGTGACTCTTAAATGCACGCCCGTAATGCCACCGCCGTGTGCTGCCTGCCTGGACAGTGATGCTGTGCACTCAGTTGCCTTTACCACCATTAGTGTGCAAGACTGTCTGCTTTCCATTTTAAGAATGTGCTCTATTTTTATTAAAATAATACTTTTTGTAAGGCTGGCTACATGCTGGCTTCATAAACATATTTGTGTTGGATGTGACTGCTTTAAACCTTTGCAAAACATCCTCAATGCTGGGCCCATCTTACACAGGAATGTTTGATCCACAGGCAGTGTTTGATCTAGTTCACTGGGAATACCAGGAGCTGAGGTGGGCAAGAGGCCAATGGCCCCTGCCCCTGGGCTGTCCCAGCCATGGTGTGGCCACAGACCCAGGGCAGGGATTGTCCCCCAGAGCAGAGATTGTCCCCCGTGCTGAGCACAATGTTCCACCTTGAGGGCTGTTTCCAGTTCTGGGAAAGAGAGACCTGGAGGGGCTGGAGCATGTCCAGGGCAGGGAATGGAGCTGGGAAGTGGCTGGAGCCCCAGGAGGGCACAGGCAGTGTTTGATCTAGTTCACTGGGAATACCAGGAGCTGAGGTGGGCAAGAGGCCAATGGCCCCTGCCCCTGGGCTGTCCCAGCCATGGTGTGGCCACAGACCCAGGGCAGGGATTGTCCCCCAGAGCAGAGATTGTCCCCCGTGCTGAGCACTATGTTCCACCTGAGCACTATGTTCTACCCTTAACCAAAGGGCTGTTTCCAGTTCTGGGAAAGAGAGACCTGGAGGGGCTGGAGCATGTCCAGGGCAGGGAATGGAGCTGGGAAGGGGCTGGAGCCCCAGGAGGGGCTGAGGGAGCTGGGAAGGGGCTGAGCCTGGAGCAAAGGAGGCTCAGGGGGGACCTTTCGGCTCTGCACAAGTCCCTGCCAGGAGGGTGGAGCAGGAAATGGCCTCAAGTTGTGCCAGGGGAGGTTTAGGTTGGATATTGGGAAAACTATTTCCTGAAAAGGGCTGTCCAGCCCTGGCACAGGTTGCCCAAGGCAGTGGTGAAGTCACCTCCCTGAGGGATCCCACAGCCTGTGGATGGGCACTTGGGATGCAGCGAGTGGTGGCCCTGGCGGTGCTGGGCACGGCTGGACTCGGTGGGCTCAGAGGCTTTTCCCACCTCGGTAGTTCTGTGCTTGTAACACAGAACTTCTCCCTGGTACCCAGTGTGGGTCTCTGCTGACCATTTGTGTGGCAGGAGAGCAGAGCTCTCCAGGCAGGTGAGAGGGCCCTCAGGACCCTGATCCCTGTTGAGCAGTTCCAAAGCACCTTCTGCTCCCTGGGCAGAGCACCCTGCTGCTGGGGCAGGCTGGGGCTGCCAGCCCTGCTGGATTCTGCTTGGAGAATCCCAGAGCAGTGCCAGCTGCTGCTCCAGCTCTCCTGGCTCCTTGGCTAATTAACACCCACTCACTCATCCCTCTGCTGGAGTAGATCCTTAATTATTTGCATTTTGAGCTGCACACGTGGCTGCCCAATAACATCACTTCAGCCCCCCTCCCTGCTTCATGTTCAGGCTAGGGGACCAGAGCTGAGGTTTTAAACACTCAGGAATACTGGGAATATCACTGATATTTTTAAATATTCTTCTACAATCCAATGTACTTAGCAAAAATTCCTCCAGGTTAGTTAACCTCTCTGACTTGTATAACATTAACTTAGGTTTTAATTTCTGAAATTAGAAAAAACAGCAGTTAGTTTCCCAAAACCCTAAGAAACATCATAACATTGCTTAAAACTTCCTGAAAACTTGGTGTAGAACATATCTGGTAATACTATTATTTGGGCTGTAAGAAGCATTTAATATCTGGATTTGGTTTTTGCTTTGTCTTCCCTCACTACGTTAAATATTAATGAATTTATTAATATTGCAAGGGAGCCTGCTACATTAAAGCCCAATGAAGGGAGCAGTGAAACTTGTGTGTTTGTAACCATATTTTGACTTGTAAATCTGTTCCACACATGGGGCCAGGCTCAGATTCTGCATCTGCCACTCAGTTCCATCCTTACAGACTGCCCAGGTGATTTTATCTCAGCTGAGAACTTTCACTCCATCCTGGCTGGTTCTGCAGAGCTAAGTACAGCCTTGTGAACATGCTCCTTAATTCCTGATCAGGATTCCCAGGACACTCCCTGCCTAGGTTTCCTCACTCCTGTTTTTATATCACTTCAGTGGTCTGTACTGTTTTTTCTGGGAAGCTGGAAGCATGAGGCTTTCACAGGACACAAAGCTGGGATGGTTAAACTGGAACCAAACCAGCACAAGGGAGGTCAGGTCCTGTGGAGCCAGGTGGGCAAAAGTACAGCCCCTGTGAGCAGTGAGACATGGAATCATGGAAGATTTGGGTTGGGAGGGACCCCAAATCCCACCCAGTGCCACCCTGCCATGGCAGGGACACCTTCCCCTGTGCCAGGCTGCTCCAGCCTCAGTGTCCAGCCTGGCCTTGGGCACTGCCAGGGATCCAGGGGCAGCCCCAGCTGCCCTGGGCACCTGTGCCAGGGCCTGCCCGTTACATTAACCATGTGAAATGCAGATCTTTGTGGAATGTAGGCTCTGTGGTTGGAGTTTGTACCACATGGGATGGATCTGGGAGGAGGGGAGGGAGGCAGGACACGCAGAGCTCTCCCTTCGCTGGGCACGTGAGAACTGCACTGCTGAAGAACAGTTTCCTAAACTGAATGGCAGAACTGGGAAAACTCCAGGAGGGCACCGCTGCTCTGGGACTGCTCCTTCCCTGGCATGGCCCACCCTGAAGGTTCTGTGTGTCCATCCCTGACCTTGGTGTGCAGCCTTGGCAGAGCCAGGAGCGCTCGGCAGTGCCCACAGGCGCTGGTGGCAGCCGTGGCTGTCCTGGCTGAGCTGTGCTCTGTGGGTGTGACCTGGCCTCTGTATCCGCAGCCCCCGGAGCTGGAGCAGCTGGGCAGGGTGGTGGAGCTGGACAGTGACATGGCAGACGTCACCCAGGAGCCAGCCCAGGAGCCCTTGGCAGAGGACGCCCTGGCCGAGGAGCAGGAGGCAGTGCCAGCGTCCACGCACATCGCATCCACCCAGGGCATCAACCCCTACGTCCTGCAGGTCAGTGTCCTGCCCTGCTCCTCGCTGGGAAGTGAGTGCAGCACTTCTCAAGGATGCTTTTGCCTTCCCAGGGGTGGTCACACACCAGCCTGTAATGATGAGTGCACCCATGGAGTGGGACTGAGCTCACACCACACCTCTGTTCTGGGGAAAGCCCCACACGTGGAGAGCTCAGTGCTGACAGGGAACACCCTAGAGCCAGAGCTGAGTTTCCAGAACTCTGGCCTCTGGGCACTGGGACAAGCTGAACTGATACCAGAGGAGTTGCCTTGGGCCCCTTGGTAGAAAAAAATGTTTTGGGGTAACTGGTCTTGATTTGGGGCTTGGTGTTGATGCTTTTATTTCAGAGTACCACAGAAGATTTGGGTTGGGAAAAACCATAAAGCCCATCCCATCCCCCCCCTGCCATGGCAGGGACACCTTCCACTGTGCCAGGCTGCTCCAGCCCCAGTGTCCAGCCTGGCCTTGGGCACTGCCAGGGATCCAGGGGCAGCCCCAGCTGCTCTGGGCACCCTGTGCCAGGGCCTGCCCACCCTGCCAGGGAACAATTCCTCATTGCCCAGATCCCATCCAGCCCTGCCCTCTGGCACTGGCAGCCATTCCCTGGCTCCTGTCCCTGCAGCTCTGTAATTTTTGTGGAAGGACAGAACCTTGAACACCTCTGGGCTTCTACCTGTAATGACAAATAGACCAGAAGTTAATCCTTAAGCTGACAAACAGCATTCAGAGCTAAGATCTAGGAAATCAGGATTATTGTCGGATGTCACCCCCATCCCCAGTGAGTCCTGTGCACTGATGTAACAAGGAGTTGTAAAACCTCACCAACAGGCAGCAAGCCTGAGCTGTGCCTCCACTGTTCCTTGGAATGTTGGCAACGTGGCTGTGTTGTTTGGTCATGTGCTGCATGTAGGAGTTTTTTTGGGTGGGAAGAGCTATTTTGATGAGCTTAGTGAGCTGCAGCTGTGGGAGAGATTGCTGATGTTCTGGCTTGGCTTCCCACATCCTCAGATCATGAAAGCTTCCTTGCTTGCTGATGACGACGACCTGGATTTGATCCTGGATTACCCTGGGAAGCAGCCTGTCAGGATGGACACTTCCCAAGAGATCTGCTCCCCAAGGCTTCCCATTTCAAAATCACAAGGACAGAAAAGACACACAGGTATGGTGAGAAACCACAGACTGTGTGAAGGAAGGTGAATTTTAACATGAACAGGAAAAGCCTGGGGTCTGCAACAGTTCCTTGCTGCCACTCCTTCCTCCTCTGTTCATTCCCTGCTCCAGCACAAGCCCTGCCCTGAGTGCTTCAGTGCCTGGAGCACCTCCTCAGCTCCTCTGATGCTTGCACTGATCTTTTCACTTTTTTTTTTTTATTTTCAGGTTTGGTTTTTTTTGTTTTTTTTTTCTCTCTGCTTGTGTGGGGTTTTTTCCCCCTTTTAAGAACTCCCAGAGGCACCAACTTTGCAGCTTGGTTTGGAGGTGGCCTGTGGTGGCTCTGCTGTGGGCACCAGCTGTGCCCTGCACAGAGCAGCCCCTACCAGATTCCCCCACTGCCCAAACCTTGCCCCTTGCATCCAGTGCACCCACTAAGTGGTGCTTTCTGTAGGGATATTGAGGAATACCTCTGGGAACAAGCAGGAAGGTGCTCCCTGATGGAGGAAACCCATTAATTCAGATCTGTTAATCAATTCAAAGCCCACGTGACTGGCAGGAACAGCCCTGAGGTGTGTGTGGGGCCAGTGTGAGCCCTGCTGATCCGTGTGCCACCCCACTTCTGTTCTGGTGTCCTGATTCCAACATGGAATCAGGGACTCCTCTGGGAATGGCCCAGTTTGGGCTGGGGCTGTGCCTTTCCCCTTCCTGGGAACACCCCATGTTTTCCTGTGGGCAGTGCTGGAGGGTCACTGGGACTCAGCACTGCACACACTCACACTTGGCTCCATGTTCCCATCACACCATCCAGACATTTGCCACTGGCTGTTCTGGGAATTCCTGAAATCCCTTCAAAGCCCAGAAATGCCCTCTGAAATACGGCTGCCCTTCCACTGAACCGTTCTTCCTGCTTCTCCCCATCAGCTGCTGGGCTGCTGCAATCCAAGTTTGCCAGTGTCCTTTTCCAAGCACCGAGTGCTGCTGTGGCAGATGCCAAGGGCCCCAGGACTTTGGGCAGTCCCCCCTGTGCCGCGCTGTGGTCGGCGGCGTCGCCGCTGGCCTCGGCGTTCGCGGTGCCCGCGGCCGTGCCCGAGGTGCAGGTGAAGACAGTGGGGGCCCGCCGGCAGCGCGGGCTCGTCCCTCTGGAGAGGTCCATCACCTACGGAAAAGGGAAGCTCCTGATGGACATGGGGCTCTTCATGGGCCGCTCCTTCCGCGTTGGCTGGGGACCCAACTGGACGCTGGTGAACTGTGGAGATCAGTTGAGCGGCTCGAGTGAAGTGGAAGATGCTCAGGTGGAGCCCGTGGAATACGGATTCCTGCCGACCCCCGTGGCTCCCAAATCGTGAGTAGTGCTTTCCTTCAGGATGGATGTGACAGGCTCGCTCTCCATGGCTGGCAGAGTCCTGGTTGCAGGTCGCTGTTCCTTCTGACATGCAGGAGTGGTGCAAGATGGTGTTGGCCATGGAGATCTCCTTCGTGGCCCTTCTCCACAAAAATATCTCTGTCCAATCCTGGAATAGCGTAGTAAAGAGGATTTGGTTTTTCTTTTTTATCAAACAAATAGCACTGTCACCCAGCACAAGGTTAAAGAGAAGGTTCAAAGTTGTTGGCCAGAAAGCTTCCAATCTCCTGGTTCTCCCTGAGGACATCTGCCCTACCTGAGGAAGTTCTAGTTCAGCTTCTCAATTCTCAGATGCCTTCATACTGCCTGTGCATCCAGCAGCACGTGGGCCTTTAGGGTCTCCATACCTGAACTGGACTGGAATATAGCCCAGTCCCACCATTTAAGTGCTCCAGAAAGCTTGTCTGGATGTTCTCCAGCATATGTGAAGTGCTGAGGAATGAGCTGGGGTGAAGGTGTGCTTGCTGCCTCTGCAGAGTTCAGTGAGTCACAGTTTATTCACCAAATCACAGAAGGTTTGGGTTCAGAGACTTAAAGACCATCTTGTTCCAACCCACTGCTGTGGCCAGGGGCACCATCCACTACCCCAGGTTGTTCAGGATCCCAAAGCCTGGCTCCAAATCCCAGACTCTCACCAGGATCTTCATGCCTTGGGTCATGCTTTGCTGTCGTGTTAATTAGGACAAGCTGCAGGATGAGCTGCTCCACTTGCATGGAGAACATGCAGAACTTTTGCTACTTGGTCTGTCTCCTCTTTTCCTCCAGACTCACAGAATCCCCTTTCAAAGTTCACGTGGAAAAGTTGAGCTTGGAACAGTGGAAGATGGACAGAGACAAGGAGCTGTATCTCACCCCTCTGGAGATAAAGCTGAAGCACAGCACTGTCCATATGGATGAGCCCTGTCCCCTCCTGGCCCCCAACCCCGGAGTCTCTGCCATCCATGACTATGCTGACTGGGCCAGGAAAGCATCTGAGGATCCCACTGTGGCAGAGAGTGAGTATAGAATGATCCTTCTCACAGAACGGTTTAGGCTGGCACAGCCCTGCCAGCCCAAGCAGTGCCAGCTGTGCCCCATGGCCACCTTGTCCCCAGCCCAGAGCACTCAGTGCCACCCCCAGGGGACACCTGCAGGGATGGGCACTGCAAAGCTCCCTGGGCAGCCCCTTCCAAACACTGTATTCTGGGATTCTCTAAGGTTCCTAAATCACAGCTTTTGTGTAGAGGAGGAGGACATGTAGAAAAAGAGTTTAAACTTAGAGTGCTCATCGTCACTGGCTGCTCTGCATGTGAAGTGTTCCCTTGTCAGTGACCACAAAATCATGGAGTGAGCTGGACTGGAAGGGACTTCAAAGCCCATCCAGTCCCACCCCACGCCACAGGCAGGGACTCCTTCCACTATCCCAGGTTGCTCCAAGCTTTGTCCAGCCTGGCCTTAAAGATTGGGTAGGGGCTGCTGCTGGACTCCCTTGTCCCCTTCACTGGCTCTGTCAGCTACCCCCAGTGAGGAAGTGCTGCTGGAGTGCATTTGGAACTGGGAGTTTTCGTAGTCACTCCTTTGAATTTTTAATGAATGATCTTTCTAATTGAGCTTCTGTTCAGACATTTTATATTTGGGTTAAAAACGTGTATTTTCAGAGCCTTATGGCAGGTTTTATCCCTGTCTGTTATACCAGGTGTTTATGGAGTGATTTATTTTGTAAGAAATATTGGAGTTGTGGCCTCCCCATTCCTGGAACTGTTCCATCCCCAAGTGAATGGAGCTTGGAGCAACTGACCTAAGTGGAAGGTGTCCCTGCCACGGGCAGGGGCTGGAATAGGATGAGTTTTAGGATCCCTCCCAGCCCCAGGCCTCGTGGGGCCGTAAGGTGTGCAGCTGAGGGTGTCCCTGCAGGTGACCACCGGCTGGCGCTGCTGCTGGCGCAGCTGGCCGGGAGCCAGCCCGTGCGGGACCTGCTGACGCTGCAGCTGGTGGACTGGCACCGCCTGCACAGCGACCGCTTCATCCAGGAGGAGCGCCTGCGCCTCTTCGCCCTGCTGGCGGGCAAGCCGGTAAGGACGGCCCCGGGGCCGGCGGCCGGCAGCACATCCTGGGGAGGGAGCGGGACGGTAAGGACGGCCCCGGGGCCGGCAGCACATCCGGGGGAGGGAGCGGGTGCGAGTCCGTGTCTGGGCTGTTCGGGTCCGGTCCGGCTAGCTGCGGAGCCCAGCCCACACCGTCTCACGTGGACGAAGGGAAAAGTCCAGAAGCACTCTTCTCCACGTGGGGGTGAACGTCCTCAGTTTGTTTCCAAGGTAGAAAAGAGGCCAGCCAGCTGCCTCCAGGGGGTTTTAAGAACTGGAAGGGGGCTGGAGAAGAGGGGCTACAGCCTGTGGGATACAAGTGAGGAGGGCTGAGGGGAGGGGTAAACCAGGGAGAGACCACCACACTGACACTTAGGGGAGGGGGAAAAGGGGAAGACCACGTGGTCAGAGGATACAAAACGTGTGAACAGTGCAAATTGCCAAACACCCAGTGCAAAACAACTGAATAACTATTTAGTGCAATACAAGAGAAGCAGAAAGGGCCTTTGCAAGGGATGCACAGATGTTTTATTCAGCCGTGCAGTGAGGTGTTCAGGGTCCAAGGGCACGCTCAGGGGCAGAGTCCAGGTCCCTGTGCCTCGAGAGGCAGGGGCTGCACAGTGGCCTCGGGGCAGTACAAAGATGAGGGCCAGTGGGGGAATAGGGAGGGAGTGGCTCAGGGACATAGGAGCAAGGGAAGGAGCCAATGGGGTAAAACAGCTTTTGAGGGAAGCTTCTTGTGTCTCCCTCACCCAGGGAATGCCTCTGAGGATCCCCACAACTCCCCCTTTTGGTATTATTGAGAAGGCTTCTCTGAAGGATCAACTGAATCAACACAAAATGACAAAAACAATCAAGAGCACCCATAAGACAATTTTCAAAATGCAAACAATTCTGAGTCCCCAGTGTCCAAACAGATTTTCTGGAGGGTCTTAGGAGGGATGCAGGGTTTTCTTAACATACTTTTTATCAGGAAACTGAGTCAGGAGAAGGTTTCTTCAGCAGGCACTGTTTCTCTGTCACCTGTGGCAGTGGTCAGCTGTGATTGGCTCTGTACGAGGTAGTGTAGGTGGTGGTGTGCCTGTTGGAAACTCCAAATAGAAATCATTAACTTTTAAGAAAAAGATGGTTACTTTAGGGAAACTTTCTTTCCCTCCCAATCACCTCCCCTCTGGAGCTGTGTCACAGAGCCACGGGCACTGCAGGGAGGGTCTCCTCCTCCTTCCCTCCCAGAGCCACCTCCTGCTGCTGCACACCTGGCTCCAGGTGTGGCTGAGCAGGGTCTGTGGCTCCAGGGGTGGCTGAGCAGGGTCTGTTGGTGGCTCCAGAGGTGGCTGAGCAGGGTCTGTTGGTGGCTCCAGGTGTGGCAGCTCTCCGAGAGGATCACTGTCAACGTGTGCTCGCTGCTGGACTGGAAGCGCTGCGTGGCCGTGCACCTCTGGTACCTGCTGCCCCCCACGGCCTCCATCTCCAAGGCTCTGGCCATGTACGAGTTGGCCTTTCAGGTGAGTCACTCCCTCCTGCCCAAGAGGAGCCCTTCAGGGTGCTCCTGCCTGCTGGTGCTGCACAGAGGCTCCTGTGAGCAGCCAGGAATTGCTGAATGTGGGATTGAGTGTAGGGTAAGGGGGGAATGGCTTCCCGCTGCCAGAGGGCAGGGTTAGGTGGGATACTGGGAAGGAATTCCTCCCTGGGAGGGTGGGCAGGCCTGGCACAGGGTGCCCAGAGCAGCTGGGGCTGCCCCTGCATCCCTAAAAGCATCCCAGACCAGGCTGGACAGGGCTTGGAGCAGCCTGGCACAGTGGAAGGTGTCCCTGCCATGGCAGGAGTGGAGCCAGATATCTTTAAGGTCCTTTCCAACCCAAACCATTCTGTGATTCTATAGAATCATAAGTTGTGTGGAGAAAACCCTTTTATGGAGCATTTCCAGTTTTGTCTAGCTGTTTGACAGCTGCACAGAATTAGGAAGAGGGACAGTGACCAACAGCAGGAAAGCCCTTTTGAGGCAGGCAGCCTGTTCTCCCGCTGGGGTCGTTAATCCTCACCTGCCTTGTCCAGCAGCCCCTGGTGCCCCACACCCGTGTGTGCCCCCCAGACACTGCCCCACACCCTGTGTGTGCCCCCCAGACACTGCCCCACACCCGTGTGTGCCCCCCAGACACTGCCCCACACCCGTGTGTGCCCCCCCAGCCCCTGTCCCACACCCCTGTGGCTCCATGCATTATGCAGAGCCCTGTGTCTTGCTGCAGAGCTCTGTGTGCAGCAGGACAAAGGGTTCTGCTGAAAAACATGTTTAATCATTTAACTAAAGCCAGCTCAGCCCTCCATCCTCAAGGCAGGCTAAGCACAGCAGCACGTCTGGGAACTTGTCACTGGTGTCTGCTTCAGTATTTAGTGTGCACAGTGCTGAGCACTTCTGAGTGCCCAGCTGTAGTGCAAGTTCTCAGCTGATTGTTCTGACTGACTCAGCGTGTCCTGTGCTGCTCGTGGCTGCCCAGACCCTGCTTAGCTGCAGAGAGAAGGCTCCCTGGGATGCACCCACTTCGTTCCATCAAGGCCTGTGTGGTTTTCCAGCTATAAAAGCCTTTGGGAATACAGGCTGTGTGTGAGAGCTGGCTGTAGCTCCAGGCAGTGGTTTTTAAGAGCTCAGTGTGAGGCATGAACCTGCCCTAGCATTTTGAGTTCAGGTTTTTCATGTTGGTTTTGGGGAGATTACAACTGCAGGTGCAGAAAAAGTCTCCTGAGCCTGCTGAGCTGTGAAATTCAGTTCTGTTCAGAATATGGTCTTCAAACTTACTGTTAAAACTATCTCCCTAGAACACCTCAGAGTGTGAAAAATACGCCTGCTGTCCTCTGCCTCCTTACCTGGAAGATTCTGGGTATGTCATTGAGGAAGATGACAACGGAGGAAGGCCCCTGAGAGATGTCTGCTTCCATTTGTTAAAGCTCTACAGTGACAGGTAAGTGGGCAAAGAGTTCAATAAGTATTTAGAAAAGTCATGATCAGTCAGTGACTGCCTGAGTTCACCACCCAGGGGTATGAAATCAGCCTGAACCTCTTGGAGCAGTCCGAAATCAGCCCCACATGTTCCCCTGACAGGTGGTGTCACCTGGGGATGGTGGAGATGGGCAACCTTAAGCTTTGGGGCACATTGGTGAGGTTTTAGGTGCTTTCTGTGTCTGAAGAGAGCAGGAAGGTTTCTCTGTAGCTGCCCTTTTTGAAGGCAGTGAGAAATCTGCAGGGGAGCACATGCAGAGGAAAAGGGGTGACAGTCTGGGTGCAGACTCACGAGAGCTCAGCAGTAAGTACTGTTAATTTTCTTCTTAAAAAACAAAACCAAAGCCCCACACCGATGTAAATCACACAGCTGGAGGTGGGTGAAAGGAGGGGATTGGATGTGATTTTGTGAGCACAATCAGCTCTCCCAGTCAGCAGTTTTGCTCTGCAGGTCCTACGAGCTTGACCAGCTGCTGGATCCCAGGAGTGTCACCTCTGACCCGCTGGATTTCCGCCTCAGCTGGCACCTGTGGGAGGTGCTGCGGGCCCTGAACTACTCCCACCTGTCCCAGCAGAGCTGGGGGGTGCTGAACACCAGTTATGCTGCCCAGCTGGAGAGCGAGGGGCTGTGGGAATGGGCCGTGTTCGTGATGCTGCACGAGCCTGACACGCAGTGAGTGACCCTGGGGGACTGTCCTGGGCTGGACACGTCCTGAGTAACCCTGAGTGACTGTCCTGGGCTGGACGTGTCCTGAGTGACCCTGGGGGACTGTCCTGGGCTGGACACGTCCTGAGTAACCCTGAGTGACTGTCCTGGGCTGGACGTGTCCTGAGTGACCCTGGGGGACTGTCCTGGGCTGGACACGTCCTGAGTAACCCTGAGTGACTGTCCTGGGCTGGACGTGTCCTGAGTGACCCTGGGGGACTGTCCTGGGCTGGACACGTCCTGAGTAACCCTGAGTGACTGTCCTGGGCTGGACGTGTCCTGAGTGACCCTGGGGGACTGTCCTGGGCTGGACACGTCCTGAGTAACCCTGAGTGACTGTCCTGGGCTGGACGTGTCCTGAGTGACCCTGGGGGACTGTCCTGGGCTGGACACGTCCTGAGTAACCCTGAGTGACTGTCCTGGGCTGGACGTGTCCTGAGTGACCCTGGGGGACTGTCCTGGGCTGGACACGTCCTGAGTAACCCTGAGTGACTGTCCTGGGCTGGACACACAGTGAGTGACCCTGGGTGACAGTCCTCGGCTGGACACGTCCTGAGTGACCCTGAGTGACTGTCCTGGGCCTTGAAATACCTTGGGGTCTGTCCTAAAGACCTGTGGTTGTAGAGGCTTCTCCCACATGGAGCAGCTGGCGGGCTTTGTGCCACTTGGGAAAAATCCCAGAACCCCAGACTGGTGTGGGGGAGGGCCCTTGAGGCCCATCTTGCCGCAGTGCCCTGCTCCGTGTGTGGGTGACGGGGAGCAGAGCTGGTGGCAGTGACAGCTGCCCTGTGTCCCCAGCGTGCGGGAGAAGGCCGTGCGGGAGCTGCTGAGCCGGCACTGCGCCCTCGCCGAGAGCGCCGAGTCCTGGGCCAAGGAGAGCTTCCTGACACAGCGCCTCTGCGTGCCCCCGCGCTGGATTCACGAGGCCAAGGCCGTTCGGGCCAGGATGGAGGGTGACAAGCACAAAGAGGCCCTTTTCCTCTTCAAGGCTGGGCACTGGAACCAGTGCCACAAGCTGGTTGTCAGGCACTTGGCCTCAGGTGGGTCTTGCTGCTCCTCTTGCATCCTGCGTCACGCAAAGGCATGGCAGGAGTGGGAGTGGGATCCCCTCTGCTCTGAGCCTGGCTGGGAGAGCTGGGAATGTTCAACCTGGAGAGGAGAAGCTCCAGGGAGAGCTCAGAGCCCTGGCAGGGCCTGAAGGGGCTCCAGGAGAGCTGCAGAGGGACTGGGGATAAGTGGAATAGGGTGGGATTGGATGATATTTAAGGTCCCTCCCAACCCAAACCAGTGATTGGCACCATGATTCCAAGCCATGGGGTGGCCAGTGAAGGGATCGGGCTGGGTTTGGAGCAGCAGAGTTAGCACAGAGGGCCTGGCAGTTCCAAAGCAGCTCTCCCTGGATACCTGGCATTTCCTGGGCAAACAGGGAAGCAGGGCAGTGCTTTCCCTGCTGCACAGCCCCACCTTCCTGGAGCACAGGGGCCTCTGGGGGCAAGGGCAGCAGTGGCCTTCCTGTTCCCTGATGTGTGGGCGTCCCTGCTGTGGGAGTTGGGTGGCCTCTGTTCCTAACTCCTGTTCTCTCCAGATGCAATTATCAACGAGAACTACAAGTACCTGAAAGGGTTCCTGGAGGACCTGGCACCCCCGGAGCGCAGCGCGCTCATCCAGGACTGGGAGCTGGCAGGGCTGGTCTACCTCGACTACATCCGTGTCAACGAGATGCTGGACAGGATTCAGCAGGTGCGGGCAGCTGCTTCCCCCGTGGGGGCTCACACGGGGGCTGATCGAAGCTCTCACTGGCTGTTGAGGGGGAGTCAGTGCTTCTCCTTGGCAGGCACTTCAAACAGAACATGGGGCAGCTCTAAAACTGGGCTTTGCTGTCTGCTGGCTGTGCCCTGTGGGTGTGTGACAGTGACAAGTGAAAGGGACGGGATAAACCCAGCAGTCTCCGTGTCCATTCCCCACATTCCTGCCCAGGCTTCCCCTTTGCCTGCTCTGGTGTGAATTCAGGCAGGTTTTGGTGTAGTGTCACCTGGTGGGTGAGTTTGGCCTTGGAGCTGACCCGTGTTTGTTTCCAGCTGGATGTTTCCACCTACGAGCTGGAGCGGTTACACACCAAAGTGACGTCCCTGTGCAACAGGATAGAGCAGCTGCAGTGCCACACGGCCAAGGACCGCCTGGCTCAGTCAGGTATGGTGACACCCTGCCCAGCAGCTCCCTGGGACAGCCAGATCCACACCTGGCTGACACCTGGGCAGCAGCTCTATCCCAAACTCACAGAACCATTTAGGTTGGAAAAGACCTTCCAGCCATTCCCCAGCACTGCCGAGGCCATCACTGATGCATGTCCCCAGGTGTCACATCCACAGGGCTGTGAAATCCCTCCAGGGATGGGGACTCCACCACCTCCCTGGGCAGCTGTGCTATCTGGGAAGGAATTTTCTCAATATCTGACCTGAGCCTCCCCTGGCCCAGCCTGAGCCCGTTCCCTCTCCTGTCCCTGTTCCCTGGAAGCTGAGCCTGACCCCCCTGGGCCTCCTTTTCTGCAGGGGGGAAGAATTGTTCCCTAATATCCAACCTAAACCCCCCTGGCACAGCCTGTTTCCTCTCCCCCTGTGGCTGCACTGCCTGTGCTGAGGGAGGGAGCAGGGAGAGGACAGCACACGCCCGTGCCTTCACTCCAGAACTGCCTCCCACCCCTGTCAGTCCTGGCTGGGTTTGCTCTGGAGCACTCCTGGGGCGGAGCACACACAGAGCCACTGTCCCCGTGTGGGTGTGTTTGAGGGTCCCAGGACGAGGGAAGAGATGAGAATCTTGACTCCATGTTTCAGAAGGCTGATATATTATATTATATTATATTATATTATATTATATTATATTATATTATATTATATTATATTATAATAGTATAGTATATTATATTATAGTATATTATATTATAGTATATTACATTATATTTATTATAATGCTGTACTAAAACTGTACTGAAAAGAATAGAGAGAAAGGATGGATCAGAAAGCTGGAATGGAATGGAATGGAATGGATAACAAAAACCTGTGACTCTCAGAGAGTCTGACACAGCTGGACCATGGATTGGTCATTAAGTAGAAACGATTCACACAGACCAGTCCAAGATGCACCTGTTGGTAAACGATGTCCAGACCACATTCCACAGCCAGCAGAGAGTTACTGCTTACATTGCTTTTCTAGCTAGAACAGGACAAAACTCCTAGCAAAGCGCTTTCATTGAACACCACGCTGACGTGCCCGCTCTTGCAGACATGGCGAAGCGCGTGGCCAACGTGCTGCGGGTGGTGCTGAGCCTGCAGCAGGGCCCCGAGCCGGGCCCCGAGCCCGCGGAGCCGCGCGTGCCCCTGCGGCTGCTGGCCCCGCACATCGGCCGCCTGCCCATGCCCGAGGACTACGCGCTGGAGGAGCTGCGCGGCCTCACCCAGGCCTACCTGCGCGAGCTGGCCCTGGCCGCGCACTGAGCGCCGCTCCGGCACGCCGGCA